TCATCATCATCATCATCATCATCATCATCATCATCATCATCATCATCCATCATCCTCCTCATCCTCATCCTCAGCAGTTTGTCCAATGACACTGTTTGCCTAGACCCATCTCCAATTTCGCTTCGGGCAAACCCATTGGACGCCCCTGCAAAAAATCCTCATCCTCATCGTCCTCATCTGCTATTGCATCGCTGCTTTGCTGATCTGACAATGCATCCTCCAAGGGTGTCCCATCCCTGGACTCACCACATCGTGCACGCGCGCCTAGAGGCATTACTGCTAGAAGCCTTGAGCTACTGCTGCCAATGGGGTGTGCGGGGCCAGGCCCCCGTTTGGCTCCTTGACAGTCAGAGGGAGAGGAGATGAGGAGATGAGTGGACCTTCAGAAGATGATCTTCCAACAAGAACACCTGCTGATCACCAAAGCTAGCTGTAGCTAGCTGGAGTCTGTCTTGCTTTAGCAAGGAGAGGTGGGAACCCAGGACCTGAGTCCGAACACCAGTACACTCTTCTCTTGTGTCTTGTGAGTCACAGTGGACTTGGAGGCCCACACAGCGTGCAGAGGAACGTAGCCGGAATTGCTTTTTGGAAATTTTGGAACAAGGACCGAATCCCTATGGATCCACATACCTTCTTTGCAGGTATTTGGGCTCTCCAAGCCTGCTTAAATAGTCTCCAATCACCTTCAACTCAGAAGGCATGTGGATCCATAGGGAATCCTAAAGCGTATCCATGAGCTTCCATCAACTTTCCATGGCCCTCAAATCCCAATCTAAGGCTCGACACGGATGACAACGTCCGCCGCTTCTTGAGGGAGACACTCTTCGAGGCTCCGTCGAACGTAGAGCAACTATATAGATTGGTCGAGCAGTCAGGGCTGAGATGAATAGTGGCTATAGAAGCTGTTTGATGTGATCAGATGATCAAATATAGGGAATGTGTGAAATACAAATTGCTACTTTGCATACACTCAAGGCAGTCCTTTCTTCTTGAACCCTTCGAAACACCCCTGTCACCCTTCACGGGTGAAGCCTTCACGATCGGAGGCCCGATGAGCAGGTCCGAGGGAGACATATATGCCCAGTCGGGATCCGTTTTCGTACGGAACCTCAGGTACGGTGAGGACGGAGACACTCTGACATGTATCGGGTCCAGGAGACACCGAACCTGAGGTTCGGTACGACAACGGATTTGTAGGGAGACGAACATTACCAAGTTGGCGCTCAAGTCCAGCGGGGACTCGCCCCGTTCGAGAATCGTGACAGGATGCTCCGGACCTTTTTATTGGCCAACTGATTCCTTCTGTTCATCAAGGTCTTTGCGCAGATGGGGGCTGCAAGACTGTTCCGTCCCTAGGGCTCCAATCATGTCCTCAGGTTCGCACCCACCTCCAGCCATCTTCTCAGAAGGCAGTTGGAGCCCAAACGCGTGTACCAGACACCCCACGGCGCGCCAGGGTGACGAGGACGCTGCTCCTTTGGCGCCACTGCCTGAGCCGCAACCCCAGGAGGCGCAGGTCCTGCAACGCTGGCGCCGGGCGCGGGAAGAGGCGATGCAGCTGTGGGCTGCTGAGAAGCCGGGCGGAACAGTTACGGTTACGCCATTAAAATATGTGGAGGGCGGCCCAGGGTTGTCCGATATTTTAGTGTAGTAACCGTACGGGTTTTTATGTTTCATTGTGCCAGAATCCTTGGGCTGTCCATGGCAGGGGTCGGACCCTCTCCACCGTTGCACGCAGGGGTCCGGGGCCGAACCAAACCCTATCTGTTGGGTTCGGGCCCGGATTCTTAGGGTAGTATGTTTTGCTGTACATACCCTATGGATCCACATACCTTCTTTGCAGGTATTTGGGCTCTCCAAGCCTGCTTAAATAGTCTCTACTTGCCCGGTCATTGACTAAACTTGACTTATAACCTAGGTTACAAGTTGGATAACCTAGGTTATAACCTGTGTAACCCTGGTTCTAACCTTCGTAAGTACTATAGAGGTTAGTTAGGACTTAGCTTTGACTTACTAACACTTATGACTTATGAGAGTTAGCCAGGTTAACTTTGAGTTAGCTAAGTCCCAAGATAGTTTCTATAGTACTTAGCTGTGACTTAGCTTAGACTTATAAGTCACTACTAAGCCAAAGCTAAGTCCAAACTAAGTCTAAGCTAAGTCCAAACTAAGTCTAAGCTAAGTCCAAGCTAAGCCTAAGCTAAGTCCAAGCTAAGTCTAAGCTAAGTCCAAGCTATTTCTATGCTAAGTCTAGGGTAAGTCCAAGCCAAGTTCTAGCACAGTTACTAGCAATTGTTTAGCTAAGTGCCATTTAGATGCAAACTAAGTGTAAGCTAAGGTCCAGCAACCAAGGTGAATTCCTTTAAACATCAAGTTCAAAGCAAGAATCAGGTTAGTTTATGTTATATTTACAAAACTTTGTATGCTTTGTGTTTTGGAAGTTGTGTAGAGTAGACGACAACCACAGTTTGCTTACCTCAACTTGTTTGATGTTGCATTGTTGAAGACGCTCAGGGCGAGAGGGGTCCCGTGGCCTGTTGATGTTCGGGTAGGGTTTAGCGTCAGCTGCTTAGGCTTGTGGGGCCTGTAGGTCCTCTAACCTGGGTCAGGTTGGGTTCCCCTCTGTTTGGGTTGCTTAAACCCTGGGGTTCTGTTGACCTGGTGTCCTGGGTCAGGTTGGGTTTCCCTCTGTTTGGGTTGCTTAAACCCTTGGGTCATGTTGACCTGGTGTTAGTTAGCCGCAGTGTGCTCAGATGTGAGGTGAGCTGTTTGTCAGTTCATGGCACTGCGGTTGATTGGTTTTTGACTGGGAAGGAGGCCGCTTGGGACGGGGTCCGGATCATGGGTGCCGCCCAGCATTGGGGCCACCGTGTGTTTGGGCCATCGAACGTTTGAAGCTTGTGCTGATGTTCTTTGGTTTGTTGCCTTGTGCTGGCAGGTGCTCACCCTTGCTGTTACCAATAATTTACATTAATATATACTTAATCATACGTGCTTTCTCTATACAAAGTCCATCAGAGTAACACACACACGTAAATATGTCTTGTATGATGAAAATATACATGATATCGCGTAAGCTCCAAAACTAGCTTAGCATCAATCTACATGTTTTGCATGATGCCAGCACATTGCTCGGTGCAACTCAATACACAATCCTAGTGCTACAAAAACCATGGTGTCAAAAAGTTATCACCCACCCTAAAAACATATCTGAACTTAGAAACCCTGCTTCGTGCAACTTGGCTCATGTGCAAATTACATAGTTAGTTCTCATTTCCAAACCTTTGGAAGGGAGTCTTTTCAGGCCCTGCGGTCTCTCTGACAAAGCCTAGGCCGCAGAAGCGAAGCAGGAGATTGCAGCTCGTGTTCCTCGAGCGAGGCGCGAGGGGTTTAAAGTCCACAGAAGCCACGCCAAAAAAAAAACAAAAACAACTATAGAACCAAAACTATAGGTGGAGCAGCATTGCAAAGCACAAACAGGCACAGAAATCCACAGAAAACCGTAGAAACCCATTTTTTGTGGTTTTAGATGGAACCCCTTCAAAAGGCTGCAGTTCGTCTTGCATCATCCAACACCTTCGACCCATTTCTTCACGTTTTAACGGGCTAAGTCGTGTAATGTCGTATTTAAATCCATAGCAAACAAATCAGCAGTGCTTTGGATGTGATGTTGGTCTAAGTCTGCAACGGCAATGACAGGACAAGCCGTGGCCGATACGGCTTCGCTTTTGCAAGGCGGGCCGGAACAGCCGCGGGGGTCACCTCAGCGGAGCCGAAGTGTTTCCCGGGCACTCGGTCAGGAAGGCGTAAAGTCTTTTCTGTTCCTTTTCATTTCCATCGGACCTTCGTGCCTTGGATCTGAAAAAACTTTATCATGTCGACAGCCACCACGTAGTCCTTGCATCTTGAATCCTCCACAGTTGCTACACCTTTTCCCCACCCCCCACGACGCTTCCTACGACGCTTTACCCTGTCGGTAAAAGATTACCCCGTTTGGGGGAAAGCTTTTGCACCCTAACCATTATTACGGTATACATAACGATCACCCACTTAAACCCGGTCATGGGATTTTCTCTCCAGCTTTCGAATGCCCAACGCCGTCATCGAACGCCCAGCAAGTGGCGCCTCCGGATCAACAGCCCCCCGCGCCACCTGCGTTGGGAGTCCCAGGGAGTCGCGCGGCTCGCGCGCGCGGCTCGCGTCCGCGAGCGTGTGGGCACTCGCTATAAGCCCTTCTACTGAGTAAAACCACACCCACCTTCACATGGAAAGAGAACCACACCCACCTTCACATGGAAAGAAAAGGAAGAAATGTTGGAATTGGAATTTTGAATCAGAAAGGGGTCCGAGAGAGTTCGATTTAGAAAGGGGTTTCGGTTGAAACCTTCTGCCCGAGCTCCAGCCCTTCGATGGACGTCCTTTTGGTGCTCGCCATCATGTTTGCCTTTCAATGGCTATGGCTTGTGGCGATCACAAGCATCATTTGCTGCGCTGGCAACGGAGGTCGCAGCCGAAGCCGATCAAGACAGCGTTCCAATTCACCTCGCGAGAGAGGTGGAGCCCGCGGCAAAGGAAGTGGTCGCAACACACGAAGTGAGGCAGAGTCGCCAGAGGACTATGTGGCTCCAGACTATGTGTCTCCTGACTATGAGTCACCTGGCAATGGAGGTGGAAGGAGCTCAGCTTCTACTGGATGATTTCCCGCCAGGCTTGAGCGAGAACGACCGCACACAGTATGAGGCAGACTGGTTGAGGTCACAAGCACTGGGTATGGCAGTTGGACTGGTCGGTTGGCTACGAGATTCACCGAAGACGCCTTCACCATCGCCAGAAGCTGTTCGACCGGTGCCGAAGCAGCGGGCAAGACCGCTTTACTATCTCACCCAGTCGGGCCAGGCCTTTCACAAGGCTTCGTGTGCTTGCATGAAAGGAAAGCCACAGGAGCCGCTGACAATGTGTGGACATTGTTCGACTTCAGATGCCAGGTTTCCGGAGCTTCATCTATTTGCAGCTCGAGGCAACAAAATCCATAAAGATCAAAGCTGCCAGCAGGCTGACTACGACTGCCCTTCAAGGCTTGTTCGTGCCTGCATGCAATGCTGCGAAGTGTCTCGCACTGGAGCGATTTGAGAAAAGGGACAAATGACCTGTTCGTGAACGGAGGATATGAGTTCGCGAACCGCCTACATGGCAACCTTTTGGTTCAGGAGGAAAGCCCTTCTGACAAAGACGACTGACGCCCAACGGAAAGGGGTGTGAAAAGGGTGAAACCAAGAGTGCGTTGGCCTGTCTTGATGTTCTCTTCTCCTCCCATCTGTCCTCGAAGTGTTTCCTTTCCTCTCCTTCCTGAAGGGTTGATTTTCTATGAAATCCTCACCTTTGACAGTTTCAATTTGAATGCTGTTTCGATTCATTTTCAAATAATTTGGAATTTATATGTGAAGATTTTGGTTGACTTTCTGTTGACACTTGGAATACATAATATGAGCCCAATACGACAGACAGACTGTTGCCAGACGGAAACGACACAATGCTGTTCTTTGTGCTCCAAGTTGATTACATGAACACACACACGAAGAACACACACAGAGACATCCGACGACAAACACTGCGCTGACTTCGCGACACCATGTGTCTGGCACCAAGAGTCTCGTTGGACATGTGTTGAACTAATAGAAGGGAAGCAGGAAATGCTACAGAAGGTGCAAGCACGAGAGATCACTATAGGTTCTTGAGATGTGTGGGCAGATTTGTGAATTCAACCGAATTCCCTGCTAGCACGATAGAAACATAACGATAAACAGAAACACTCACACGTGAAGACGCCGGTAACACTGAGCTAGTGAGTTCTGGTTCTGTTTGCGAAAACACCTCAACAGAGTAGCGTGAACTGTTGTCATCAACCGCCTTGACACGCCCTAGCGCGCCAGGAATTTCCAAGGCTGTGTCTGAGTGTGACACCACGGTAGTTTTCACCTTGCACGTTGTATGCACGCATTTCTACTGTACATTTTGGTTGGAGATCACCACATCCAAACTAGTACATGTTCTGTTCCCGGTTCATTCGCGACGACGTCAGTTGGGAGCAGGCCACTTTGTGTTTCCTACCAGATGGTGAGGAACAAGCACACCAGTTGTGCTTCAGGAGAAGCACGCCTTTCATTTCTGTCTGGAGGACGAAGTGCTAATACGTGAACTGTAGGTGTGGACAGTACAGCACAACACACACACACACCTCTGGGGTTGGGGAGCTTAGGACCTTCCTCGTATGTAAGTCTACCACTTCTCCCTGTAGGAACAGACTTTGGTGAGAACAGTGGTTGAGCACGACCTTAGGAGTTGGGAACGAGATTTTCCAGCCTCTGCTAGTCTGAGATCACCGTACTGGTGCTGACAGTTGACGACAGGAGTTTTGTGCATGCTTGATGACCGGTCACCTCGAGACGAGGTACTTTGTGTTTTGCTTGGCGGTTCAGACCGCACGCCATTTGTCTGTGTATGTTTGTGCTTGGTTGAGCACTCCGAGACGGAGTTTTGACTTGCGTTGTGTTTGTGGTTGCGTGCAGTTGAGGAGCCAAATGAATGAAAGAAGAATTGAGTGAACTAAATTTGACCTCCGAATTTTGAGTCTGAGTTGCGAACTGTGGACGCCTAATTTTTCTAGTTTTCACGAGATGTGATCCAAATTTGAATTCGAAGAATTCAGGAAAACCGAAGAGCAGTTGAATCAAGATGATTCGACCGACTACGTTGGCTCAAGATGAGTGAAAACTGTGCGAGGTTCCGCTACCATGAGGTTGTTCTCACACAAGGGTTTGGGGTGTAGATAGATTGGTTTATTGTTTTTTTTTGGTGGTTTTTGGCTCCTCCACACCTGGATAGTCACTTCCATGATCAGCTTCCTGCTGGAACCAAAAAATTCCGGTCACGGATCCACAGCCGTGAAGCAGTTGTGAAACTGTGGTGTTGCAGGGAGTTCTGCTGCGGCAGGGGCCCTTGGCGTTTTGGGTCGAATTTCAGAGGATGGCGTCTCTTTCGGTGGACAGAGGTAGTTCAGGCAGGCAGAGTTTCACTTCTTGGAACTGAAGAAGTGGCGACAAGTGAACAATCTTTTGTGAAGTGGATGACTGCCGGGAAGGTTGTACATCTTGCACATGCATACTTTGGTTGAACAATGGCTAACACGCATGATTCAGATTTTTCAGATTCTGAATGCTTTTATTTCTTTATTCAGAGTCTTTATTATGGCAGAGTTTTTTGGAGAAGGATGACGGCAAGATTAATCCTTTGGAGAATGCAGAAAAACAAACAGAAAAGCATGATGCCGGAGGAAACTTTTGGTCTTCTCTTGGAATGCGCCCGGGTATGATTGGTCTGGCGAGGGGTCATAGATGGCTGTTTCACTGACCGCGACTCACAAAGAAAAATGGTGAGAGCAAATAGTTATGCTTCTGACACATACATGTACTTCAATGTGTTGGGTATTAAGATTATTCTATTTATTCCATTTGGACATACATAGATACATTTAAGGAATACACACATCATTAAGCATGCATAAAATTCAGATTCTGAAATAATTTGTTTAGACATGTTTAGACACATATCCACAAGCTGAACTTACAATACTAACATTCAGAACCTGAATTTTCAGAGTCTAGTAAATTCAGATTCTGAGTTTTCAGAATCTGAAAAGCTAAGTCAAAGCTAAGTCCAAGCTAAGTCCAAGTTAAGTCGACTTAGCTAACTCAAAGCTAAGTCCGCTAAATCTACTTATAAGTTAAGTCTTGTAAGTACTATTAGAGGTTAGCCTTGACTATTTATCTTCGACCGGGCAAGTAATCACCTTCTCAGAAGGCATGTGGATCCATAGGGATACTGTTTTGGAGGATAGGTCAAAATGTATCAAAACTATATAGAACATATGAAATGCTTACGCTTCGTTGACACTAGTTCTATTTGCTCAGTTTGGTGTGCGTTCTTTTCTAACTCTGGCCTAATGGGTTTTTGTTTATGTCTTATAGCATATAGCCTTCCAATGCCTGGTGGTCCTTGGGCGTCTCACTTCGGCCAGATCGTCTCACTTCCTGGTCTCCTTTACCAGTCTTTAAGGGTTTACTTTGGTCGTTCTGCACGGCCCGGATCACACTGCCACTGCCCGGGAGACATAGCAGCCCCCATGGGTTGAGTGTTCATGTTGAAGAGGCCTCCACACAGGGAACACGAGAGAACCGCACAGGTTGTTCACAACCTCCATGTTTACAGTAGTGCCATATATAGCACGACTTGCGGACAGTCCCTGCCAAAAACTATAGTCCATAGGGTAGTGCTATATATAACTATAGCTGATCAGACTCAGAGTATCCCAAAAACACCAACACCCGCCGCTTTCTTCCAACAGTTGAGACCTTGCCTTCCTGATCGCACGAAAGCGTTCCCCCCGCTTTGTTCGCTCCGAAACCGCGACCGCCGCTGTTCGCTGTTCACCCACCGCGGCGCCGAGGATGTCCCAAGACGCGGGCCTCACTGGAGCGGAGGAGGCCTTGGAGGAGGAGCTCGACTTCACCGACGACGACGTCCTCAACGACTGAGCGAGCGGGAACAGACCGTGACGGTCGTCGAAGTGACCAGGGAGATGGGGCGAGCCGCGCTGGTTGTGGTGAAGGAAAAAGGGACGACGTCAGTGGAGGATGCGCGGGGTGAATTAGGCGTCATCATGTTTTGAGAAGCCTTTAGAAAGGGAACGATGATTGGGTGTAGAATTCCAAACCATCAAGGCCATGTTTGATCACGTTGTGTTTGCTTGTGCTTAATTGGTTGGACTCTGAGAAAAAAAGTGCCTTGCGGAAAAGCAGCACCTTTCCCAGCAATTGCATAGTTCAAACAGTTCAGAGCATTAAAAAAGGCGTGGAATGTCACTAAGAATGTAGCTGGCGGCCGTCTGCAAACATACCCAGACACCCGATGGGACTACCATATATGCCTACATTGACCCCCCTGGCACCTCCCCAACTGATCGGCATATATGGCAGTCCCATGGGTCGTGTCTGGGATAGGTCTTTTGGGAGAACACCCTTTCAGAAGCTCAACTTCGTACATGTGGACGGAGCGTTTTCCAGGGCACAGAGCTGTTCAGAACAACACTCGGCGTCACCTGCAGAGTACGGAAAATGCTAAGTGTGTGGATGCTCGATCCGTTCCTGGAGGGCCAATTTGTGTTCCCAGAGTCCATTCTTCACGTTTCTTTGGTCAGGGTTGAAATGGGCCAGATGTGCTGATACAGTGTGGGAGAGCTATACTGGCTACAGTATGTACTGGCTGCTAGATCTTCTGGGCAGAAAGAGCTGCACTCGTCCTCTCGGCCGTCACAACTCGAAGACACCGAGTCGTACCGACACCTTGTCACGACCAGGCAAAAAGGAGAGGCAGCGGAAGGACCTAACCGGTGCCGAAAAGGATGACCTGCGATCTCTGGAGCGAAAACTGGAGAAGCGCCTGAACACGGGCTATCGCTCCATGACCTGAACGGGCACACGGTGTGCCGCGGGTGGTGAACGCGTTCGCAGAGAGCGGCGTTGATGTTATAAGTCCCAGACACGACCCATGGGACTGCCATATATGCTTACATTGGGGAGGTTTCAGGGGTCCCATGGAGTGTTTGGGAGTTATAAGTAAAGCACATGGTGTGAACCTTTCGGGGGGGGTCGCCGGACAGAGCTTTGGGTCGCTGTAGAAGTGGATTTGTCCACCTTTGGAGGCACTGAAGCACTCTCTAAATGCACCTTTTCAGAAGAAGGCATCCATTTACAGAGCATGCATGTCCGAATTTGACGGTGACTACACTTCTTGACATCAGGTTGCCCGAGTTCCTTGATCATCATAGACGATGCATGTCAACATGTTGAGTTCAGTTTATGCAGCTCTACGTGCCTGTATATAAACTTACGGAATCCATGTTCTTAGAAATGGTGAATGGTGGCTTGAAACTGACATGCCCTGTGTCGCAGTCAAGTAGGATGATTTGAATCCCACCAGGTGTGGATGGTTCTTTTTGGATTGGACACTCGGACAGGGGCCTCCAAGAGGGGATCCTGGAAGCAATGCATGTTCAGCGCTTGCTTCCTCCACCTTCCAGTGGGTCTGCATATTGGTCTCCGACTTTTTCTTAATTGAGAGTCTTCAAAAGCTAGCCGACTGCTTCCCCTAAGACTGCTTCCCCTAAGGTCTCAAGAATGGCCAGAGTCAGTTTATTGGAGGCTTTGGGGGCCAGTGAAAGGATGAAAGCTTCAAAGAACATCCGAGAATCCAAAAGAACTACGGGATGTCAATATCGACAAACCAATCTCTCAAAGAGATCATGTTCATCCGAATCCCTTTGGGATCGGTTCTCACGCGAAAACTTCCGAACCTGAAGCCCCCGCTGCGGAACCTGCTTTGCTTGTTCCGCTAAGGAACCTCTTGTATCCGGACGGTGCCTTGGTGGGCGAACGGGAAGCAGGACACCGATGCCTCAGTGGATCACCCAAAAAAGAGGAAACACAAAGAGCACAACTAGGCAAAGCCTAGTATTTTGGGAATATACCTGGAGCCTCAGTTCGTACCTCGGAAAATGGGTATAGTCGTACCTTTTTTTTTTTACGGGATCATGTCCCTTAAGGTACTTTGGAGGGTCCAGGTAAATCCATGTCCACTTTGCACATGTCTGGGCATTGGGGACGACGCCAAAAACGGAACCTTCGGCTGCGAATGGGAAGCCGGACGGCGGAAGTGAGACCTGGAGACTGGAACAGGACGATCCGCTCCACTCCAACGAACACGTGGGTGATCCCCCTGGCGTTGTAAAGGAACGTGTACTCCCTGGAGACATTTGTAGACGAATTATCATGCAAGTGGAACGTGGCCCCGGAAAGGATGACCATTTTCCTCTCCAAACCGGTGGTTTGCCACTTCCATGATTGATTTCAGGGAGTGGCGTTTCCACGCGACCGGGAAATCCACTTCCATGGAACGTTATTCAGAGTGTAAAGCATCTGCCCGCAAGAGCTGTCGCGACTGAGCTCCAATGTTGTTTCTAACACCTTCGGTGGCTCCAGTAGCGGGGCCACTTTGGAAGATTGATGAAGCATCCCTGGCGGAGTATTGGAGTATGGAGGCATGGTTGGTTATAAAGCAGTACACACGCCACGCACAACATTGCACAACACAACTGTATATTTGATATGTATGTTATAGCATGGTATAAAATGACATAAGATCTTTCACGCAGCATCGAGGTGTTTTTGACATTCCTTGGGGACCGGACATTTCGACTGCCATTTTGCAGCTCCGTGGGTGCTGCGAGGTTAATCTTCGTTTCGTGACAGGTCCCCACCGGTGGGTCGTCATAGGCCTTTTGACCCGGCGGCCCGGTCCTATGATTTGAACGGTTCGATGACACTAGGGGCGGCCTAGTGAGTGATGTTTTCTAGATGGGTCTCCAACTTCAAAGACCCAAGTTGGGGATTGTGCCATTTGCTCTTTTTTCTTACCTCTGAGATCTTAGGCCCTGATGATCTTAGAGATGGGCTTCGAGATCAAGCAGGAGCCTTCCAAAACAGCCCTCAAAAACCGCCGAGACCTGGGGCGGAACTGTCGAGCTAAAGGCGAGAAACATCAACAAGGGGCAGAACTGGCCAACAAAGGGTGACGATCAGAGGCTTCAAGAGTTGACGACGCAGTAGTTACCCCTAATGACGACCCTCCCTGCAAACATGGACCAGTGGAGTTCAGCCCCTGTTATGTGTGGTATTTGGAACATTCTTAAGGGTCTTTCCAGGGGCCAGGGCGTCCACTTCCATCATTGCTGAAGAGGGGATAGTATGTGGTGGTGTGTTTCATTTGGATGCTTTTATACGTTTATTGGATCCAGGGGTAGGTCTTCCTCTCCAGAGACTTGGCGTGTCAGGACCAGATGGGCCGCATGTTGGCGCAATGCATGCAAAGGCCTGGCATTGTCTCCTGGCATGACAGTGAGTTAGAAAACCCTCAAAGAACAAGTTGGCGCAAACCTTTGGACTGTTCCCTTCTTAGCTATGGCTACATCATCAGGAGGTTGGTTGCCAGTCGGCCACTTCCCCCAGCCCATCGATTCCTGCTACCCTCCTGCGTGCGCTCGCGCGTGCGCTCGTGCGCTTCCCACTCCAAGCTCTCCGAGGTTCAAATTTGCATGACCATCAAATTGCTTCAGATCGCCTGGGGGCCCTATAGACATGTCGGGAACGGCACGAGACAAGAGGAGCGTCCCGTTAAATGATAAACGGGCCGCCCCAAAAAGCGTCTGCATCATGGGGGTTTTGGAGTCCGACATGTTTGGACGCCAGAAACGGGCATCAGAATACAGTGCGGTCAGAGGTTCGATGGCACGTTTCCGCTAAGATGTCTTTTCTAAGATGGAGGTCCATATAGACCACCTATAGATAGGGGGATTGCGCCATCTACTATCAATCCACTAACAACGTGTATATACGTATTGATGTTCAATGTGTGAACACACTTGCAACACTTACAAACCTACTAACATGCAGGCCTCTCCAAGTGTTTTACTATGTTTTACTTATGGTTCTTTGCTTTGACATGCTTTGACTGATTCTGATGTCATCTACCGGTTTCCGGTGGAGCATAAAAAGGAACAATAACACTCCGGCTATCAGCATCCAGCTGGGGCTTGTTGGTTCCATGACTGGGGCAAGATTTTCCCGCACATTAATTAAGATGAACAAGTATAACTAATTTGTGTGTTGAGTCTAGTTTCCTCCCGATTTCCTCAAGATCTTTGCGTCAAATCCCATGTCCAGACAGGGTTCATATCGATTCTTGATCAGGAGCTCAACCACGTTTAAAGAAAGTCACCCGCTGTTTCTTCAAAGCGACTTGTTTGATATCCCAGATCCAAGGCCATTGGGGCCAACAAAAAGTTCAAGCTAATCCAAGTGTGTTCTTCACCCATGCTCAACAACCATTTCTCACTTCACCACCAACACTTCGCCTCGACCCGCCGGGCGCCCGGACGGGTCGCATTCTCCCAGGCGCCGAACGCCATGATCCCCGTGGAGCACTTCCTTCGGGGCCTCGGCGTCCTGGTGCAGCGGAACTTCCCCGTGTGCCCTGCCTTCACGTCGCTTAACCCACGTCGCGAAGAGGCGAAGGTGGGGGGAGGTCAACGACGACGTTTTGGGGGGGGAATGTAGACTCTTGAGGACTGGGTGGGTCTATATTAATCAAGAGACTACATTAGGGATTTGCATACATTTGCGTGACTAATCAGGTGATGTCAGCCTCTCCTCCCCTAGTTGAGTCAATCAGGGAGTTTTCGGCGATGGCGAGGAATCGTTCGCACCTGTGCTGAGGCAGATCCTGCGAACGTGGCTTAATATGGGCTGCCCCAGGGATCAGAGGTCCTTGCGACCGCTACCGAGCCTCGATCGCACTTGGATAGGATGAGGACGTCCCACCCTCCGTTTTCGACCGACGCTTCGGGTGGGAGCCAGCGGGGGTCACTACGGCCCCCTCCCCGTAGGCCCGGGGAGTATATAAATACCTAGCTGTTCAGCTGTGCCAACTATATGCACAAATTATGCAATTTTATGTGTTTTTTTTTCATGTATAAAGGCCAGTGCTTTGATTGGAAGGTCTATAGTACTTGTATACAATTGTAGGTACTCGTAAAATATAGAAGGCAGGAGCACATGGGGTTTTGTGCCAAGGATCCTGGAAATGGATTTCTGCATGCTGTGTCCAATCCCTTTGGCTACGTTGTTGCTCTTGGACCATGTGCGGTCTTTTGGTGGAGAGGGTGCGCCATGTATCAGGCCCCTGCCAAAGTCAAGCCTCATTCTCTCGAGGATGGCCGACAAGTCTTAGAGCCGACAAGTCTTGTGTTGGATTTTGTGGGCTGATCATCAAACTGATGCTCAACTGCAATAAGTATAGTCAGGTACGACTACGATGAGGATGAGAAGAGGTGCGCTGGGGTGGATCGGGCTTTAGCTCACTTGACAGTCCTTCACGGGCCAGTGGCCACCCACAGTCATCCAAGAGTGCCAAAGAAGACGTGAACCCTCACCATTGCTCAAAGAAGCTTCATGGTTGAAGATCCCCGACCATGAAAAAGAACGGCGGTTGCAGTCTTCAAAAGCCGCAAATATCAAGGAATCCATCGGAAGACTTCTCCCTGCCACGTCCTCTCAGGTCCTGATCCCAGACCTCTTCCTGGCTCTGCGGATCAGGTGCATTGGTTTTGTTCTTTTGTTAAACCCCCAGAACTGGAGAAATATACCTAGGCCCCCAGAACGGCTGAAGGGGAGTACCAGCTCCGGACAGAGGTTATATAAGGGATGTCCATGAAGCACCCCACAGCTGGCCCGGGAGCCACACCCCCTGCAGAGGACCACATGGAACCCCAAAACCACTGGGTTGTTATAGAGGAAAATGGTCTTCTATCGGTGAATTCTCAGGTTCCATGGGGACCTTTGTGGGGGACGTCTATGTGTGATTGGTCCATGGGTCGCGGAGCCGTCGCCGTCGCCGCAGGATGGTCGCGCAAGACCTGGAGGATGCTCTCGGCCTCCTGGACGGAGCAGTCGGGCGCGAGAAGCGGACGGGAGGGAGCAGTGGATGCGAGAAAAAGCCATATCCGCCGTGGGAAAATAGAGATCAAGATCAACGTGGATGATCACTTCACCAAATCTAGCAAAGCCCGCAACCCAAAAAAACTGGATCAGCACAGCCTTTTTTAAACATCTATACTTGGTGGGTTTACCCCTATAGTGGATGATCAATCCAGCCGTGTTTGTGTGGTGGCACAGCTCTTCTTCCGACCGAGGAAGATCGAATCCCATGAGTTGGGACATAAGATCAAGGGCACCACGTGTCCAAACCATGTGGATCCACTGCCACCTTCGGTGATTGGAGACTATATAATACGTTATATATTTTATATATGTAAGTAGGCGCCAGGGTTGGGCCCAGTCAGACCTTGTAAGAAGGTATGTGGATCCATAGGGTGACGTTTTTCTTTTTCTCCGGGTGGCCAGTACCTTGTCCTGGGCCTGAGCACCAGTACCTGGGGCCCCAGGCCAGGTGTCCAATTCTAGCTCCGAACAGAGGTGATATAAGGGATGTGCATGAACCACCCCACAGTCAGCTGGTAAGCACCAATTCTTCGTCCATGCGGAGTTTGTTTTTGGTATGGGGGAGTTATGGATGGTCCAAAGACTAGTATGGAGATCACTTCATGTTTTTAGTAATGTATTTGTATGGGGGAGTTATTTCTCTTAGTTAACCCTACAAGTCCAAAGACCCCGTAAAACATGTTTTGTTTCTTTTTTGTACCTCCTTAAGTATTGGTGTTATATGACCATCTCCAGTAAAATGAGATCAACTTGACTTGTAGGGTATGGATGTGCTTCCGACTTCTCGTGAGATGATCGAAAGCACCAGTGTCAGTCCAGTTCCGGGACGGACATCCATTCAGGACGTCATACCATGTGGCTCCGCCAGCACGCAATTTCACCAGGCCACCATGATGGCCACCATTTGCTCGAAACTGCCAGCATCCACAACAAACCATCACATCGAATTCCACCCACGCGCACACCAGAATCCGCCAAATTTGCCCCTACATGTGCGGCGAAAACGCTGCGCGAGTTCCCGCGTGAGCGGTTGAAAGCTCAGGCATCATCACTGATGACGAGGAGGATCGGAGAGGCGCCGATCGACGCGTCATCCTCGTACAGGACTGGGTGGGTCAAGTGAACATCCGCGCAGGCAAAGCAGCAGTGTGTGTGTGTGTGAAGTCATGAGGTTGTGAAGTGTCAAGGGGGTGGCTTTGTGAACATCATAGCAAAGACAGGACATCCAATGAAATGCAAGTTGGTGAAAGTCAGTTAGTCGTTTGACGGAGTGGATGGATAAAACAAAATGAGGCAGCATATTATTGAAGGTCATGCAGATGGCGATGGAGAGGGAGGGAGAGAGAGAGAGAGAGATTATTGAAGGTCAAGAATGTGAACCACAATGCTCTGAGCAGCATGCACAAATTGTTCAGTGTCAGCTTCCTTTCATCCCCTCCCAGCCTCTGAGAGCCCAGCTTCCCATTTGCCCACCAGCGGCTTGGAAGGATTGCAAGGCCCGGCCTGAGCTCAATGGAAAGTATGCCACTCGGTGCAGTTTAGTCCGAGGGATGTGGTCAAAATGCTTGTTGTTGAGAGTGAACATATTGGGACAAGCGGTCGGGGCAATCAAACCCTACAGCTTATCCCAGTAGTTGTTAGCCACATCAAGTATGGAATGGGGTATGACAGGAAGGTAACTCTTCCAGTCCTTTGTGTGGTGTCTAGAGGTACGAACCTGGTCGGGGGATGAGAAAATAAGGATGTTGGCCGTCACGGCGAGACACGGACGAGGGATGCCCATGACTCATCCCGGATGGGCTCTTGGCCTCCTGAGAAGGTGGTTGGGGTGGATTAGGAGGGTCTAACTGTCTAACGATTTTCTGAGGAGGTGGTTGGAGCCCCAGGGCATGTTGGACCCCATTTGCCCCTGACCTCTATAGAGTTGTGATGGAGATTTAGTCAGGGCCCTTGACGATGTATGACCTGGCGAACGAGTTTGCGCCCTTTGTGGAAGTGGAATTGAAAGATGGGAGCCCCATGGAACGTCCCATGGATTTTCTGGGATGCAGGCATGCCATGTTGTATTGTATCCAGAATTTGGATACATTTGGATGTAGAATGTTGATATATACGCTCCCCGGAACTAACATGGAAGTGGAGTTCACCACGTGTTTGTAGTGGATATCATGGTCTTCCGAACTGGGCCCAGCCCATCCACGTAACCATGGTGAGTTCGGAGGGCCCAAAGGCCACACACAAACAGATCTGTGTGCAAAGCTGTGCAAGTCACTGTTTGTGCGGTTTCTCCGACCATCTAAACTTTGACCTTTCGTGGCCTTTTTTGGGGGGGTCAACAGTCACGAGTCACCAGCTTGAAACAAAAGCCAAAGGGAAGACGAGGCCGAGCACCGGTCGCTGAGGAGCGTTCCTCCGACCTCGTGGCCCATGGACGCCCGGTCTTCGAAAAGAAAGCCGAGGCGCGACCCGGTCGGTTCACCGGCACTGGTGGGCGGCCCAAACGGTACGCCCGGGAGCGGGCTCGGTGCAAAGGGATTCCGGGGGGCTTAGGTGGAAAGGGTTCGGTGTTTTGGGTGTTCGGGAGGTAAGTTAAAGAGAGAGCTACCCAGAGAAGGACGAAGGACTGGGAACTGGGTCATGTTTCAGAAAAAACACCAAGGAATAAGGCGAAGTTGCAGTGTCAGAGTGTGTGTGTGTGTGTCTGTGTGATGCATCACACATGTGTTGTTTGTTGTCTTAAGCACGTTTGGTCACGCCATGTCACGCCCCGGCCAGGTGCGAAACCGCAAAGGCAAAGGCAAAGGCGCCTTTGTTTGGGCCGCTGGATGTGGTGTTTGCTGGGTGAAAAACGGCTCAAGAAGGTGCGTTGAGCGCCCCAAAAAGGGCCCCTCCAGGTACGACCGCACCAGGTACGGTTCGCGAAGCGCGCGCCAGGGAAAGGCAAGCATGACGCGAATGAGATGAAGAGGCTCTTGATGCCTCACATGCTGGATGATGACGACATCACCATTGAGGTCATGGTGATCCACTACAAGCAGGCAGGCTGAGTTGCTGCACCTATGTGGATCTATGTGGATGTTGTTTCCACCTTGTAGGAGGCCATCTCAAGACCCTTCCATCCCAATCAGCATAATCAGCTTGACATGCCACGCAGCATTGGGACAAGATCCGTTTCCCCCAAAGACGCTGTGTTTTTGCCACTCGAGATCGGACGTCGGCGAGACATGACCAGTGCGATCGGACGTTCTTGCGAGGATCGGAAAGGCATCAACACTGGCTGGTGGATCAGCAAGAACACCCCCACAGGCACCCGGCCCGTGTGTGGATTGTTCGCTTTCGTGCGTGGTCAGAAGAGAACCCAAGAGGGGAGGGTTCTTATAGAGGGCCCTGATGAAAGTACATGAATTGGGTTTGTGATCTATAAGTTGCACTTGAAACCGCTCGTATATTCATAGACCACCTTCCGTCTTTGGGTCTATATATATATTATAGTCTATAGGTCTCATCTGTGGACCACCTACCGGACAAAGACCACTGGAACCCGTCACCGGACACGGAACCTGGCGGCTCGGCTCGCTCCCAGGTCCTGGTCTGGCGTGGAATGGCCGCGACACCAAGGGCCCACCCACCGGCGGTTGGTTCGTGATCCGCGACCGGCAGAAGCTTCCGGACCCGGCCGCCAGTCATGCGAGGGGCTGGCTGGGTGACTGGTGAGTGAAACGTCCGGTCGGTGGGGTTGAAGGAACATTCTGTGGTTGGAGCTGTAGCTTGAAACTACGGCAGCTTGTGAGACGCACAAACCATTCCAACTCCCTGTGAAGAGTGAGCATGAACATCATGAACGAGTTGAGATGGATGTCGGGAATTTGTTTCTATCCTTCAGTGAGGAACCCTTTTGTTGAGACCCATCCAAGCCACAATGGCCAGAGGATCGGAGAGTGATTTTTGACAGCGTGTGGCCAGAATAACTCGTGTTTAATTGGAAGGCCTGGTTGCTCTTTTTGGGGGCTGTGTATGCATACAATAGAGCAGGTGGTGATGTTAGAACTGGCTCAAGACCTTCTAGATGCTTAGCATCTAGCAGAACTCCACCCACACCATTGGCTTCTAGATGTCATGACCCCCAAAAAACGAGCCAACACGGCATCACCAGCTCGAAGACCGACGTAACACAAGCAATCCCTCCAAGATGCCCACGCCTTTTTGGTCTTGGGTGGCTCAGTTTATCCATAGGCTTCTAAGAGCATGATAAAAAAACGGTGGACCTGGTTTTGTAGTGTACATATTGTACAACCCCTTAGTATAAAACAATCAATGGCAAGAGCCACTGCATCGATGGTGGTTGGAATTCCAGGGTATAGCCACAGTGCCCTAAATAGAAAGTTTCTCCATGTGAGATGCTGAGCATGTCTTAAACGGCTCGATGTAGAAGTTGTCAGTGAATGATTCTCTTCTTGGTGATCGTAGGCATCCTATGTGTTGTGCTTTGTGCGTCCATGTGGCTGCGCCAGCTGACTGTGTCTGACGTGTCGACGTGTCGCCTGCGAAAACGACGGACGTTCGTGCCTTCCAGGTGTTCATCATTGATCCGAAGCAAGCGAGTGACGATGCTTGGCTGCCTTCGGTTCTTGGGGCACTGTTTTTAAGTCATGGCCCATAGGGTCCAGGTACCTCCTGAGGATGGTCTTAGAGGTGAAAGTACTTCCAGAGAATGGTCTTTGGGGCCAAAGGACATCCTCAGGATGGTCCTGGACCCTTAGGGTGGGCAACCCTTCATGACTTCGAGACGGTAGACAATTAAACATGTTGAGGGCGTATCAGGGGATTTGATGGCAATTTGAATTAGGATCTCCGTCATGTTGGCTTGTGGTGCAAGCATGTGCAAGTGCAAGTGTTTCTTGGCAGCAGAGTTCATAGTGTTGTCATGTTTCGTCCCAATTGGTTATGAACAATGTCGAAGTCCCAAGTATATATATTTGTCGATCTAAAGGTCCTAGACAGGATTGTTGATGACGATGACCCGGAACATATCAAAATCTCATTTGGCGAAAGTGTTTTCTCGAGTTGGCAAAAGTAACTTTTTGTTTGGCAAAAGATATGGCTAAAGATGTTCTTTTTGCTGCTGTTGCTACTACTACTACTACTGCTACTACTACTACTACTACTACTACTACTCGTACTGCTGCTGCAGCTGCTACTACTACTACTACTAGTACTAGTACTAGTACTACTCCTACACTCCTGCTGCTGCTACTACTGCTGCTGCAGCTGCTACTACTACTAGTACTAGTACTAGTACTAGTACTACTCCTACACTCCTGCTGCTGCTACTGCTCCTACTTCTGCTGCAGCTGCTACTACTACTACTACTACTACACTCCTGCTGCTGCTGCTACTACTACTACCACTACCACTCTACTAGTACTACTACGACTACCACCACCACCACCACGACTACTACTACTACTACTGCTATTCCTGCTCCTGCTTTGGGGTGGTTGCTTTGCCACAAAACTCTACCCCGCAAAAGGCGAAAGTTTGGCGAAAGTTCAGCTCAAGATTGGCGGAAGTTCACCCTGCCACATCTGACCCCCAGCCCATTATGAGTAAGTCTGAGTGACCGGCTACTACAGTGATTCTTGCAATTTTGATTCTTGCTGACACCCAGGAGAAACAAAAGAGGCGTACAGGGTGACAACAGTTAAGTAGAAGACACATGCTGACAAACAGTGAAGTTTTTATTTTGTTTTTGCCAGTAGAGAAGAAGCCATTGACGTGAACAAATTTGATATCCATCACACAACATACATGGCACACATAAATACAACATACTTCGGCGAAAGATAAAACGCAGGAATGCGAAAATTTGGTTAATGTATTTTTTGGGCTAAAAGGAAATTAGAACAACACCCATATATATATATATATATAAATTTTTATATACCAAGACCACAGAAAGGGGCGGTTATTGGATGGACACTACATAGGAAAAGGGGTGTCCATAAACCACCCAATCTCCGTGGTCCTGAAATATTCTTAAGATTCCTCCTATTTTGACGGACGGTTCCTGGATTGGAGATACTGACTAGGTATCCGGAGGTGCCTCATTAAGACCTGGTCAAGTACCTAAGCCCCTTGCTGTACCAAACCTCCTAAATCCTCTTATAATTGTTTGGTTGTTGAGCTATCCAGCATGTTGAGGAGAACTTCGTGAAGAAGAGGAAGAACGAGGACTCAACGTTCCGGCGTCGTTGTTGGTCGGGTGGAGTCGCAACGTTCTGGCGCAGACAACGTTCAGGGCCGGTGTAAACTCCGCCCCCTTTTCGAGGAAAGGGGACCTTTTCACAAACTGTTCTTTCGCCATGTAGCATCAATCGAAGATCCTTACCAATCATGTTCAGTCCCGAAGAACCGAGCAGCCCCTAACATGTTCACATGATTGCTTTTGAACTCGCCCTCGAAACATGGCAGCAGGGTTTCTCACCCATGCCTGTTCGAAACATGTCGATTTTCGAGGTCATGAGATCTAAAACGCCTTTTCCAATCAAGAAGCCAAGGGTCCAAACCACACCAGAACCCCACAAAAAATGTGGAGCAGCTGGCTGACTAAGACTCGCATTCCCTGGCTGACCTGACTCCTTCCACTACCTTCGGATTCCGAAGTTACCTCCAGCGCCCTTTCGGACGGTGTCTCGCTGTCAGGGAGCACGGTCCTTGGAGCAGTTGGATGGCAATAGGCTCAAGGGTCGGCTGCTGACCCCAGACAAGCACCGCGGCGGAATGGCACCGGACGGGGGCGATTGCATTCGGTTCGTGGAAGAAGGAGAGGTTGCCGGGGTTTGGGCACACTGTTTCGAGCGAGCTGTGGGGATGTGGATGGGGTAAGTAGGATGAAGTAGAGGAATAGGCAAAAAAGAAGAAGAAGAAGAATCGAAGAAGGAAGGCTTCCTTTCAAAGGTTAGCGTCCAGTCAGAACGACTATATATTTAGTGCTTCATGTGCAAGATGTAGACCCAACATCACCCATCCACTAATTATTTCCATGCACATGACACTGATCATCACCTGCAATCAATTAGAAAGACAGAGAGAGAGAGAGAGAGAACCCCCTAACCCTCCCCCCCGCTTTTTTCCAGCCGTGCGCCGTGCGCGTGAGAGGCCTCTTATCCTGTGAATTTTCCCGCTCCAAGCACTCCCTACAGGATCCTACAGGTCAGAAACTGACCTCATTTTTACATAATTGACTAGTAGATGTTACTGGATCCTACAGGATCCTACAGGTCATAAATGATGTTACTGGAGTAGTTGATGGGGGAAACCAAAGGAAACCAAACACCAACCGCTACTCCACGGAGGTGGACCACGGAGCAGTCCGACTGCTTAGACTGGACCTCTTTTCGGGGCACTGAGGGGTCCGGCCCAGGAACGTCATGTCGTCCGAGTACTTTGGTCACTTCTGCCGCTGGGGCGAAGAAGAACAGCTTGCGTCGGTAGGTCGAAGGTGTTCGTTTTTGGTTCGTGCGGATCGGAAGGAACAAGGAAGAGGCAGGGTGGGTGGAAGAGGCAGGCTTAGCTCGTAGGTGTTTGCGATGGTTTGCCTCTGGGTGAGCTTTACCTTTTTGGGGGGCCCTATCCAGCAAGAAGTGAAACGACACGTAGTTTGGATACGCGTTGTTGGGATCCTAATTTGCCAATTGAATGTTGAGACTCAAAGTTATACTTTTCCCTTTGCTGTGGTTTTCAATGTCGGGTACCCAATTGGAAGGATGAAAAAACATGTTGGCCCAGGACTGGGAGACACAGCAGGCCCTGACAATTCAAGAGCTGAACACATATTGGCATTGCGATGCTTCAGATTCGCCAGACAGGTGCTGTTTGGTTTCCCTTTATTTTGGTTTCCCTTTCTTTTCTCTGGAATTGGTCCTTTCACCTTCATGAACATGTTGAAGGCATTTTGGTCTCGAACGTCAACCTCCCAGTCCACCTCCGATTGTTTTCGGTTATGGAGTGGCTCAGTTGCCTCATCATCGCTGAATGATCATTGATGATCATTCCTATATACTGGATACCAGCCGGGCTGGTATCACGGAAGTTCTTGGGAAAGACGTGAAGTTCCAAGGCGACGACTTGAGCTCTGAGCAAATTCCATGATTTTTCGCATACTCTCGCGCCTGGCATTCTGAGGCATGCTCATGCACCTGGAGCATATGGAAGAACTTCGTCAGATCAGGCGGGACACCGGGCATGCTCATGCCAGGTGTCCCCGGTGCGGCCATGGAACCGTCCGGCCGGGCCGTAGCAAGTGAGCTCGATGTAGCGATTGGATGCTCCACAGTTTAGCAGCTGGATGGCCCAAGACATATGGGTATAGGTATTGGCAAGTTCCATCATCAAAAACAAGGCAGGGCTCTTGTTTGATGCGTCAATTGAAAGTCGCTTGGTGCGACCGCGTGAGCTGTGTTTCGAGGCAGAATCTGGATGTTTTGGAAGTACAGGTGCAACTGCAACCTTGCATTCCCAGAATTGATTGAAGGAAACATCTACAGGAAACCATGTTTGTCACCAACCTATACTGCATGCATTTTGCTGGAGGTTGTTCCACAAACCAATTCTGTGGTCACATGGCCGATTCGAGGCGCCTCCCAGGCACATGGATCCCAGCGCCTCCATAGTGGACGGAGGTCACAGATCAACATGTTTGGATCCCAGTTTCTCTGCAAGTGACGCCTGCTGCATCAATAAGCATAGAAGACCACCTCCCCGAGTTCGATGACCAGTTTCCTCTTCTAACAGCGGTGTTTTCCACTTCTATGCCACCCTTCTATGCCGCCCATGCTGGACTCAGTCAAGTCTGAAGTTCGTGGCGCGGGTTTCCCAAAACGCAGACTGAATTCAGCACACCTATGTCCCCAGCAAAAGCAAACGAGGGAGTGCAAAGTGTCGCCGTCGCTCAAGTTACACCAATCTCACCTAGCAGCCTAGCAGAAATCGCGACCAAACACCTTGACTTGCTTACCCAGACGCTCCATGTATGCCATATACATTGGCCCCCCTGGCACCACCCCTGGCCTGATCGGCAGTCCGGACTGGCAGTCCCATTGGTCGCGCTTGGGTGAATAAGCCTAATAGCTGACCCCACCATCCGCTGTTCCCTTCCCCGATGGATCTCAACGAGTATAGTTGTGAGCATGTGGGTAATCCAAACAGGCGACCTTCTGGATGGTGCGACCTCTTTGATCTTAAGGTTTGGATCCCATGTGTTTTTGTCCTTTGGGTGGGGGTGTTGCTTTAGGGTGTGTTTTTGTGTGTTTAGATGTTTGTTATATTTCGTTAGCGCGACCTTTTTTCAAGTCCGGTAGTGGCTCGGCCCATGTTAGGGTTATACTACATGTCAGTTCGCGCGTGTTTGGGCTTGGCGAAGCTTGACATGAAGACCCGCCTGGCGGGGTCGACCTCACATCATCTATGGCTTGTCCTTGGCAGCACGGGCCATGTTCGCAGGCGGCGCACGGAGACGATGCAGGACGCTGAGCTACAGCGCTTGGGATGGACGTTGGATGGATTGCCCTGTGACCTGGCGAGGGGACAGGAAACACGGCGATGGTCGGGCCGGGAAGCTAGTGGGAAGCGAAGAGGGAGGTGCGGATTGAGACTCGGTCGGGCCGTTTTTTTGCTATTACTAGTGTAACCCATACACTCCGTGTATGCCATATAGTGCCTACATTGACCCCCCAAACCACCCCAACTGATCGGCATATATTCCATACATGGAGCGTTTGGGTAATTGAGATGGAACGTGATGCTTGTTGGATTTATTAGTGAGGACGAATGAGATGATGTTACGAAGTTTGACTGAGACTCCACACTGAGACTGAGACTGGAGAGGAACATTCAGGTGTATTAGGGTTGAAGGATCTTGGAAGAGGAGACTAGGGATGTTTGAGTGCCGAAGCAATCACAAGATCTGCAAAGATCAAATCCCTACCCACTACAGCCCGGGAGAGTTGGGGCATCTCACGAGTGGCCTTGACTCAAAGCGGGTGAGTTGGAAGTTAGAAGTTCTTATGTATAATTCAAACCTCAAGGATAGGAGACATTGGTTTGTTCTAGTTTTAGAAGTTCCTTACAGCAAAATGTTTGACTTACCCCGCTTTTCTTTTTCAGGCGACTGGGAGGGCGGAATTCCCATCGATTGATGCCTACTTCGAGTTATTTGCCAAAACAGCTTGATTCATGGGTGACGCTCCAAAATCATCCAACATCTAGTAGGCCTGCGCTGCATTCTGCATGTAAAGCATGAAATGAAAGCATGATGCAATCCAGGGCCGTCCAAGTATGCACCTTGATGGCCCATCCGTGGCTCCGGGTTCGCTCCCTGCCGGCGCTCCGCGCAGCGCGGCAGGTATTGGCATTTTTGGTCGTCGCGACCCAAAGAAAAATACCATCATCGGCACCTTGGTCAACCGGGTCACCACGCTTGTCACCCGTTGGTGCGGAATTTCTGAGTCTGCGGCGATTGGCGATTGTCGCTCGTCTCTCTTCACATCAGGCTTGGTGATGAAGAACTGCACCACATCCAGCTAACAGCACAAGTTCTGGAATTAAACGAACGGTCGTTAGTTTGGTCCTTTCCCTCAGAAATGGTTTCTCATTTTTGTGGCTCCTAGTACCTTCTAAGAAGGTGGGACTGGGGTGGATGCCAGGAGGGTCTGGAGCCCAAACGGGCATTTCTTGGGATGCCTTAGAATTAGAATCGCCGTTAGGATTCTCATTTCGTGGCTCATGTGTTTTCCGTTCCCTTCTGCTTCTTCGAGGCTGGGAAGACCCCGGCAGTGAGATGGGCACCTTACAGCTTCCACCCAACACGCAGTGCCTCGCAGAACGGGTGGCAGTTCGCACGGCACGTGAGGCACCGCACGAAGGAGTCTGAGGATGTTTGAGGGAATGGGTGTCAATTTTGCGAAGAGAACCCTTACTGGGAGAGGAAGGAGTAACGGATAAATGGTCACTGTATTGTAGTTGGCGATTGGGCCACCTACATACAAAACAAATAAATCATAATAAATCCAACTACTGTACGGATGCACTACCAAGCTTACAATACAAATCCACTTCATTACCATGGAAACATGTCACACGACTCTACGGTGAACAGCGGCGTGAGGGAAGTACAGGTACGCCGCAGAAGTCTGAAGTACGGGGTCTCAATCGGTTTGATTCAGTGAATCGAAAAGAAGCACGACTGGACCTTTTCTCCAAGGTGGGCCGAAAGATGGACAGGACCCAGATGAGTTCGTTGTAGAAATTGGCGAAAGCACTTAGCAAGGAGGTTAGGGGTTTGGTCGTGAGGACAAACAATAATAGTTTCGGGGTGTTGGAGGAGTCTCAGCAGTTCTAAGGTCAATGGACAGTCCCTGACATGGAACAACCTGTGGGTTTCTTTAGGACCATTTGCACTCCAAAGGCTGCATGAGACAGGATACAATCCCACGGTTGATTTGTTTTAGGGGGGTTAGACGGGTGTTTTCAAGGTGTCTTTGAAAACACAAGGACGCACCAGAGGTTGGTTGTAGTGGATTGTAGGTTTTCCGGACTGATGCACAACAAGGAGTTGTACGAAAGCAGCCCAAGAAGGGTCGAAAGAACTACACTCCCTGGGCACTCACATATGGAAGTAGTGGAAGGCAACCTCCTGGTGCCATGCCATCCACTTCAGCTTGAGGGAGTGCAGTTCCTTCGGCTGTTCCGTCCGACCGCCTCAGGTTCGACCGACTGAAGTTCAAGCGCGGCGACTCCGTGATCATCAGCCCCACGGACGTGTGAAGAAGCGGTGGAAGTGGTGGATGACTGATCTTAGATGATGGTATCGGATCCTATTTTCCCAGACACTCCATGTATGGTGTATATATATATATATGTGTGTGTGCCTACATTGACCCATTAAACCACCCCAATGTAGGCATATATACATGGAATGTTTGGGTATTGTATATGGTAAAGCTCAATTTTAAGAGCATGCGAGCGATCTTATGATAAGGTTCTATTTTAAGAGCATGCGAGCAATCTTATGATAGGGTTCCATTTTCAGAGCATGTGAGCAATCTTATGATAGGGTTCCATTTTAAGATCATGTGAGCGATCTTATGATAGGGTTCCATTTTAAGAACATGTGAGCTCTTATGATAGGGTTCCATTTTAAGAACATGTGAGCGATCTTATGATAGGGTTCCTTTTAAGAACATGTGAGCGATCTTATGATAGGGTTCCTTTTTCAGAGCATGCGAGCGATCTTATGATAGGGTTCCATTTTAAGAGCATGCGAGCGATCTTATGATAGGGTTCCATTTCCAGTGCGTGTGAGCAACAAAATACAGGTTTTCAATGATCTAGTTGGTTTTCCTTTCCCGCATGTTGCACACACCTTTCGTCCTCGCTCCTCCACGTGCCATTCCGCCGCATCTCCTCCAGGTGAGTCCCGACAGCAGGTGCGCGTGAAGGGCGAAGCCTTAGAAAAGCTGGGTGAGGGCTTCATCGCCGACATCCAGCCACTAGCCCTCCAGAGAAAACACACACACACACACACCCGCGCACGCGTGCGTGCGTGTTTGTGTGTCGTGTGTGAAACGGCTTTCGGTGCCGAGGCAGGGCGGCCATGTCTGTTGTGGAAACGTCCGAGGGCGCCAGCGTTTGAACTGCAGATGAACTCAAAAGCTTGTTGACCCACACTGCCAGGAAGACTCCAAGGCCAGTGTTCATCCAACATTTAAGATGTAGTTTCTCAAGGGTTCTCATTGCTCATGATTGTTATTGCCCTTCCCGGGGCATGTGAACTTTGCCATCCCCATTGACAAATCCACTCCAACTGGCCATCCGGTGGCCTGGGCGACTGTGCAACTCCAGAAGCGACCCCGGCAGATCGTTGAGAAACTCTTCCAGTCCTACTGGACTGTTTGCATGTGTTTGCATTGTTTTGGAGGGGGCTGAGAATCCGTTAAGCACACCCCAAGAAAACATGGTGGCTCTACTTTGATGGGCACCAGATGAAAGAGGCCATATGTTGGATGCTTGATACTCCCAATATAGAAGTTTTGCGAGATTCCAGGTATAGCGTTCACCTTTCCTGCCAAAGTCCCAGCCTCCAAGTTCATGTTGGGGACCCCCCTCACCTTCTCCTCGGGGTGCCGGTCGTCTTGTCTCCCGGCACCCCAAGTGGATGAGGTTGCCCCGTGGACGGGATGGCGAAAGCAAGATGATCATCCGTGACTTGGTGATGAATTGATGGGTCGGTGGGGGTCGGCAGAATGCGCCACGGTGCAACCATCTCCACAACACCCAGACACTCCATGTATGTATATGCCTACATTGACCCCATGGAGTGTTTGGGATAAATGAGCAACCACTTTTATGAGATAGGGCTCCCACATAATGGATTATAGTGTATCTTTTGTTTATTAATATCAATCAAATGCCGCTGCACATATGTTTGCTGTTTGGAACATATTGGATACACTAGTTGTTTGAGTAGCTTTGGTCACGTGTTTCTGATTCTGGTCAGAACGATTTCCAATTGTGTTGGACTCGACTTGCAGTTGTTTCTCTCACACGCCAACGCTTAGAGCTTGGGCTTAGAGTGCTCGTGCACAGCTCATCAAATCATCCTCCATGTTATCCGCTATTGGATTCAACTCAGGCTGAAGGTTTGAAACTCCACCTTAGCAAACTAACCTGTCCTTTAGGGGAGAGAAGTGCACCAAAGAAAGAGGAACATCGGGTAGTTCGAAGGTCGAACCGTTGGCCAAGCTTCTCTAGGTTTGCGTGGCTGCTGGCCTGATGATGCTATGTGCCTTGACAATCCGTGGCGAAGCCATGCGAACGTTTGCAGTGCCCCGTTTGGCTCCGGAAGAATCAACATGTATTACGCACATTAGCCCATCAACAACAGAGCAAATTGGACAGCCCATGTTGTAACTTGTGCACATGCGAGCACTCCCATCTGAAGCCAAGGTGGTGGCTAGCTCACAAGCCATCCTGTATACTGTATACTCCACAGTATTTGGCGGAATTTAGAGCGAATAGGTTTGGTGCATCAATAGCGGTGGAATTCCTGTTTGGTCAGTCTTGCTTCGTTGTACACGCCAACCCGGAAGGCAATTTGGGGGAGTGTTTTTCTTGTGGGAACTTGGCCGATGATTTTACTAAAGGTGGTTCAATCTGTCAAAGGTACCAACAAAATATACTAATATAGTTATAGGACCATCATTTTCGACCGGACTTGGGCTAAAAGGACCAACATGCCTTTTCAAAGTGTGCATGCCATTAACCCTGAAGTTGAAAGGACTAGTTTGCTGAGCGAAATAGAGGAAGTTTGCTTTCAGGTGCATCTAATTTAAATACACCCTAGGGATCGAGTTGTACCTTCACAGAAGGTACGACTGGGCCCTCCTGGCGCCTACATAAATAGTCTCCAATCACCGTACCTGAGAAGGTACGACTGGATCGCTAGGGACTATGTGTTTTGTTTTTTGGGGGGGGATTCTGTCTAGCTGGTGGTTCGGAAGGAGCGAGGCTGCGTCAGTGCAGTGGAGGTATCGATAGACTTCCATAATTGCCCTTGGTCAGTGGGGGGCTTCCCTCAGCACTTACCCTCCGACACAGCACTTGGTCTTCCAGGGGCCCGTTGTCCCCTTCCAAGTCAGAGTGTAGGCTCTCTTAAATCATGATGGAAGTGGAACATAGGCCCAATATATAGGCCCCCTGAAAGACAATGTGTTGAATACCAAAACAGGTAGTGTACTCCGCTTCCTTCGTGAATGACGTGCAGAGTACTCCGCTTCCGTCACACGTCCCGAGACCGGTGCAGGTCCCGGCGCTGGCGCATCGATAAGGGCGCGAACAGCACGCTCTACGAGCGACAGTTGCAGGCGATGTTGAACCTGGTGAACAAGGACCGAACTGAACAAGTCCAGACACTCAAGTGCGATTGGAAGTCCATGGAATGTAGGTTGCCTTTTCAACCACCCCAAATGTATGCCCACTGCAGGGGTGTGGCCTAGTGGTGTGGCCTCTCATAGGTTGGAATGTCCTTGGAGCGTCCAACGAGGGCCGCCCCTGCGCAGTGGATGTTTTCTTACCACGCTGAAGGTTATGCGGTGTCAATTTGCGAAGCATAGAAAACACGAAAGAAAACCAGATGATTTTTGGAGAACTGGACTGAGTCAGACTTCTACTAAGACATGAAGACTTCCGGACTTTGGGATTGGATTTGTTGGCAGGACCGCTCACGCGTGCCCGGGGCCCTGATGGGGAGGGGGGGCAGCTTTGCGTGCAAATCAACGGGTGAAAGATGGTGAAAAGACTCAGGGCAGGCAGCAGGTGAGCTGTCAGGAAAAGAACGCCTTCAAACCTAAGCCCTAAGGTGTTTGTTTTTCAGAGCACCCACAGACATGGAAGTGGAAAACCAACCTGTTTGTAAAGAATGGGTTTTCTCCTGGGGACCATTTTCCACTTCCATGTTTGTGAGTCGGGCTGTATAAGTGCTATGCAGTGCTTGGGCCCAGCTCGAAAACATGACTTCCACATGCTTTCACAATGTCCACGCGTTCATGGATTTCATGGTCAGGTCCGGACGGGAAGCACATATTTGGTTGCGCGGGGGAGTGCAATAATCAGAGCTGCACAATCATGAGATGGCGTCCATGTTTTGGAATCAACGATTTCATTTGTCTTCTTGGTGTATACGTCTCAAGATATCTCAATGTGACTCAATGTGACGACCTGCTTTTGCTTTTGCTTTGAAAAAGCTTTAGTCTTCCCACTCACCTTGCCCACCGCATCTTGTATGCACGTGGGTCGACCGGTGCTTCGGGCTCCAAGGCCTGAGTTGCTCATCTCAGCGAAGGTGGGCTTAGCCGATTCCTGGGCCAAGCAGTGGCGGAAGGGGCAAGGCGTGCCTTGACCTGAGCGAGCGGCTGATGCGTGGAGCAGGGCTCGTCTGAATACTTGTAGGGCGTCTGCTTTTCAGGCAGGCAGTTTCGTGACTGATGTACCTTATAGGTGGGTTCTTAAAGCAACCTGCTTTGCAAGATTTTGCAAGTGATTATTTGAAGGACGAAACGGAGGCCTGACCAGGTCAGTTCCGAACTGAAGATTGCACAGCGGACTGAAACTGCGGAAGCACACCCTTGGCATGTTTGGTGGGGGGAACCCTTGGCATTGGTCGCGGCTCCAAGTTCCCAGGTGCAGTCTCCGCCAAGGCATCGACAGAAGAAGAAACCAGGCACAACATGTCCAATGTTTAAAATTGTTTACCTAAGAATCAAGGACCCTCGAAGACAAAGCTTTTCAGAGTCCAAACCCCTGCTATACAGGGTTAGGGTAGGACTTGTTTCAAGGATTTTCCAATTGAATAAGGGGAAGGACTGCCGCCAGGCCATGGCTTTCGATGGTTTGTTGAGTTGTTTTTCGATGGGGCGCCTATTGGATCCTCACGGACTCATCCTCAGGTGACTGATGAGGACAAGGAGCTGGCTGCCAAGGTGGGTTTTGCCCAGTCAGAGTCAGATGAAACGTGTGAGGATGATGGAGGTGAGGATCCAAAAATTGTCATGAGTTTCATCTTGAAATTGAACCAACCAGCACACACATCACAAGTAACAGGAAACTTTAGGAAATGTACAGTTGCGTATGCATGTAGTGACGCCAACATGGATAGAACGATAGAACAGCAAAATTCATAATATGGTATTTATATAACGTACAGGTTCTATTTTGGTCAATCAGCACTACAGCACTACTGCTCGTGGGGTTTGAGACCTCAGCTGTACTACGTACAGGAACATGACCCAGTTTGAGCAATTTGCTATCAAAGCTCATCTAGTACTTTCGCATCACAACCAAGTATATATTGCATGGTCAATTCTATGTATGAGCTGGAAAGATGCGGGTAATTTAATTTTAAGAGATTTTCTGTCCAGCGATCTTAGGGATGTCTTCAACGGTTTCCAATCCTGTCCTCCTCATTGAAAACTCTTTTTTTGAGGTCAGGGTGAGTGACCAGGGTGACTGAATCCGAAGTGCACGCTTCGCCGCGCACGTCTGGTGCTTCGTGCCAGGCAGCTGAGCAAGCTGAGAAGGACGTGATCCGAGAGAAGGAGGCGCGGTCTGCGGGGTTCGGGCGCAGAGTCCCCACGCAGCCTGACCTGGCTAGCTCGTGCGCTTGCGCTACCGCGATCTACTGCGCCCAAGCGCGTAGGGAGAAAGTTCGGGGGATGAGCTTCTTGGCAGCATGTTGCAGTCGTAAGAATCAAGGGCCCTTGAAGCTGAAGGTTTTCAGAGTCCAAACCCCTGCTATGCAGTGTCCAAACCCTCAATAGCATTGGTGTTTTGGGATGCTTTGGGCTCCTTGTGTTTGGAGTGCCCTCAAGGCGCTCGATCTATCTGTGATCCATCTATTTAGAGCCGGATGGCAATGTGCTCAAGCTTATGGCTGGCTAGCTCGTCTTGGGAGCGAAACTTTGGGCGATAGCAACTTGCCCTTTGTTCGAATCATGCACTAACAAGCCTCCAGTCACCAGACATTCAGAGCGGACCACTCACCAGACATTTAGGCGGAAACGAGCCAGGTGCAAACATGACCTCCATCGTTATCATTGTCAACAAGATTTCACAGGTGTCGCCATTTGTTCCTTAAAACGGCCTAAAGCAAACCGTACATCTTCCAGTGACGGGCGTTCGTATTGTTCCCCTCGGAAAGTCCGCCGTCGCGGTCTTCATGTCATTGGTGGTGCTTCGCTGGCAGCGCCGCGAATGGCAGCGCCGCGGTGCCTCCGCTTGGCCGGTCTCGCGGGGCTCGCGGCGGCGGGGCTCGCCGCGTTCGCGCTTTTGGGGCGGCGGCGGAAGGAGGAGGACAGCGAGCATGAGCGGAATGACGTGTTTGGTCCTGAAGAATAGTTGTCTTTGTTAGTTAACTTTTTAAAGTGATGTGCTTTTATGAAGATTCTATAGAATCTCTGGAATGCTGTCTTTTTTCGGTATTTTGGCTTGAGTATCAACTCCTCAGCTTCTCCAGCTACTCCTGCTTGGTGCTTTGGAGAAACTCTGATGTGCAACTGGCGCGAGCCTAAGGCAGAGCAGCGGTGCAGATCCTCAGCGAGAAAGGACACCGAGGAGCTGGCTCTCCCTGAGGCTCACTGAGCATGTTTAAATTCGGTTCTGACAGAGCCTGAGAATTTGACGGTCTTTAGATAGTCCTAAGTTACCTAGTTGTATCAGACCAAGTTGCCAATCTGATGGAGAGAGAGCGAGAGAGTCGCTTTCCAACTGTTTGAAGTCGAGACCTGGAATTTTTGTTCCATGAAGTGGTTTGTAAGTCGGTAAGACGTGGGGGGCAACTGGAACCTCGGAAATTTTGCGCCATTCGCTTATACAAGTTGGGTACAATGCTTAAGCACGACCATTTGGCCAGTACAATCCTAGAGTGTGAGTTACCCCCATCTTGGACTGCCCAACCATCCCCAAATATGTCCTTTTTCCAATCCTTTTCCCATCAACACGGGGTGTTTGACCCCTCGGGAGACAAACAGCTCCAGGCTTCCACGGAGGCACCCCCTTCGCCTGTGACGTCTCCGGACGTCCCAGCCGCGAGCGACGGCGAGCGGCCCGAGCACACGGCCGTCGTGGCACGGAGGTGGGCGCCGTGCTGCGGTGATGGGCGGGGTGCTGCGGTGGTGCGTTTAGCAGGGTTGGTAGGGTCCCACCTGGAGCCCAACCAGTCCACCAAGCGACCAAGCCAGTGACCAGAGCTTCAAGGATCTTTCGTCGGTCTGGTGGTGCGTATGGCACCCAGGAGCCAGGGCTGTGTAGGTCGATGGGCTCGTTCCTTTGGGACGTGTTTTCGTTCGCAGGTCAGGGGTTCGACAGGTGGGCCTGACAGATCCTGACAGGCCTGACAGTCACCCTCTTGGGTCGATGGTTATATTTATATGGGTGCCATTCCCTGTCCTTCCGAATTCAATACGTACTTTCCACATCTCCCAGGAACACTCCTGTTTGCAAAAAGAGGATTGATTTAGACTTTTTTCGCCCAGTTGGTCTAGGGCTGCCGGGGGATCTTCGCACGACTGGAGGCTGATCTTCGCACACTTGGGGCTGAAGTTGAGTGCCTGGGCAAAAGTCCCGAGAACCAATGCGCCATGCGGCGGCGGTGCTTGGGTAGGACGGACCATGCATTGCTTCAAATGAAGTGTTCTTTGAAAACTTGCATAGATCTATACATGAAGGAACGTGAAGGGATGTGATGGTCTCGTTAAGACCAAAGAATCCATGTGTTTCGCTTGCGGTGACTGTGAGATCTGTGAGTGGGCCCAACCAAACGCCAATGTTGACCGGCAAACAAGTGAGGAGACATGCAAACAAGGAGAGGAGTCAATTGGGAGACAAGGCAGTGCCAGCAAACAACACGCCCATCACACAGGTAAACAAGTGGGGAGAGACATGAGGAGACATGTAAGGAGACAAGGCAGCAGTGGCAGCAATGGATCAAAACGCTGATTAGCCACCCAGTCATTGAGAAGTAAGAACCGCTTTCGGCTATCAGAGGGGGGGAAAAGCAGCGATATATACAGTATATAACGCAACCTGCTTGGAAACCCTGCAAACGGCAGCTGAATAGAATTAGGCATCCCAACTCGAGCGAACTCGATGACAGACTAGACGGTGCTTTCGACCAGCTGAAATCAGCTGAATGATTCGAAGTAACCGAGGCGAAGAGCAACGGAGTGAGGAGCGCGCCTTTTGGCGCCGCGCTGGTGCGACGCGCGGTGTTGAGCCGAAATCAGGTGGAAGCGAGTGAAGAATCTGGTCAAGGCCAGCCTTGGTCTCTAATGTTTTTTGTGCTAATGGTAACCATATCTAGAGCATGTGCTTTTTAATAGTGCAAAGATAGTAGTATTTTAAGTATATATGTTTCATAGTACAAGATAATAAGTAGATTGCAGTAATGTGTTAAAGTATTTTAAGTTTCCAACGTCGGAGTTCAAGATGTTCACTTTTTTCTTTTGAAGGACACAGGACTTGAGAAAACAGAAGCAAACCAGACGGTGACATGTCGTCCAGCCACGCCAGGTCCAAGCTACTGGGAGCTCCGACCTCCGGCGCTGGCTGCAAATCATTTGGACACATGGGGTATCACACTGTCGTTTTGAGGATTTGGGGCGAGGACTTCGCGCCATGTCGGCACATGCCATGTCCTACCTATTTCTGCCTATGGCATGCCGGCCACGTCTCCTGCGCCAGTGGCCGGACCCCTCCTGGAGGTCGAAGCCAAGGATCCCAGCCACGCTGTGTTCACCGGCGCCGGGCCGCAGAGATGTGCCGAAAAACGGCGTGCCATGTGGGAGGGGCTGGTGGAGACGGGACGCTGCCCTTTCACCTGCATTGGAGATTGGTGGTTTCTAATATATAATTGCAAGGGCCTGATACTCAGGCACTGTTTTCTTAGATGGGAAAGTAACTTTTCCTGAGCTTTGACGTGTACTTCAGGGATCCTCATGAAGCTGTTCCAGAGTTATAATTTTGTACCTGCATCTTCATTGGACAACAAAAACAATGCGCTTGACTTTGGAGATTTCTGAATGCACGTGTTTTTTGACCATTTGAGGTTGCAGTCCCTTTGAGTACTGAGTGCTAAATTCCAATCGGGTTGACCTGTGCTGGTAGAACGTTTGGTGTGCGGCATCCACCTGTGTGCACACGAATGGGAACCGTGTCGACGAGTGTCCTGGTGGCGCACTGAACGTGAAACCTGCGTGAAGCTTCCAATACTTCCCAACAAGCCGAGGATTGCGAGAAAGATCCAAGGGCGAAATGACCTGCTTCAGAGTCTTTTTTGAAGGGATGTTCTCCGACAAGACAATGATGGATGGCCAGTGAAATATTTGTGTGGATTTCCCACCTCAAGTCATGGTCCGGGTGTCCATTTTCAGCGCCTGAACTCCGGCAAAACTTTGGGTGGTATCCTCGGCCGGTCGTAGGCGGCCAAGCTGGCGCGCCTGAATCCGGGTGGTGCCTCCTCCGACAAGCTGGTTGGGGCAGCTCAGCCGGTGGAACTTGCGCCACGGAAAACGCCCCAGATTTCAGAGTGGGAGGCCTTCGTCGGCGATCCATAGGGCTAATTAGGGGAGAAAAATGGGAGATCTGATGGGTTCAATTTGTGTGTGTTTGGCACATGGAGGTTCTTTTCCGGAAAGCATATACAACACTATGACTATGACTATGACAAAAAAAAAAACAAAGTTTAATATATCTATATTTGTAAGATTCTTTTTGGGGGCGACTCACCATCTTCAATCAACGATTGTGTGCAAGGTCAAGGGTCTACTTGCCCACTCACTTCCCCACGAGTTTTGCTGCATCACGCACACCGGCGTAGGCGTAGACCAACACAACTAGTCACCAGTCTGAGAACCTTCAAACTCAGACCCTCAGACTCAGACTTATATCCTTCCAACCCTATGGGTCTTCTGGGTCTTCTTCCTGGTGTGCAACTCCTTCCTCCCACGCTCTTGGACCGCCAGGACAACGCCCTCAAGGAGGTGAAGACCTTATCACATTTGAACACCTCGCAGCGCGATGCTGTGCGCCCCGATCGCGGCACATCGGGTCAGCGGCGGGGATGGGGGGATGCAGGAGACGGACATCTGGAAGTGAGTGGATGATCGCCTTCAATCAAGGACCTGCCTAGAAGTGCGCCGACACAGCCAACCTGGTAGTTAATTACTTAGGTCTACTCTTGGCCAACATGAAGTGGTTTCTGGTAGTGTTTCTGGTCCTCTAAATGAATCGATGACAAGCCCATGACCAAATTAGCTCCCCTGCAGGGGCGGGACTGCAACAACACTATAGGTGAAAATCGCTTCATCCTTGTGTTTCACTTCCACTTCCATCATCAGTAGTCGTGGAAGGCTCGAGTAGTCGTCTCCTGGACAAGTCGCCCGGCAATCCTTGACGCCCAGAGGTGGTGAACAAACCATCCAAGCCCATTCACTCCACGAAGCCCCCAGAACTTCCGACCCCCCTCACCCCACGACCTGGTCTCACCACTACCGTCTCACCACGAGCCCAAGGGGCGAGCCGCCCAGGCGCTCGGCGTTGAGGACCACTTGCACCGTCATCCAGGGTCCTCCAGGCACTGGAAAGACGCATGCGGCTCGGCAGGGGTGCCTCTGAAGGGTCAGTTGACGTTTTTAGGGGCCACTGGGACAGTTCTCCAAAACGATGCCAATGGCATGTTGGAAGGCTTTGATTGAGCCCTTTTGGTCATCAGACATGGTTCCGGTGAAGACTTGATCAAGTACTGGGCCCTTTCTGCCTTGCACAGCGCTGGGAGTGCATCCATTCCTTCCCAGTGAAACTTACAAAGAGCATGGAACATCTACCCATCTACCCGGGGTAAGGGCATTCACTGAGCCGAGGTCAGTGTGCAGATCATGAAGATCCTTGGAAAAAGCAGTGGCCGCTGTGAGGGACGTAGGGGTGAATCATAGTGAGCTCGCTGCAGCATGCCGTGCCAGGTGTTGATCCTATTCAGAGGCAAACAAGACTCACTACTATATCTAATATATGTTACTAGAAGAAGGATATGGAAGGGGCAGAAAAGATGAGACTAGACTGCACTTGATGCCCCCAGAAGACGTTAAAATTAATATAGTCTGGTGGAGGCTTGTTGCGATTCTTCTCCCAGTCGGCGGAGGAAATGCACAGATGCGCTTAGGAAGTTGGTGGCATAGGGATGCATAGGGCCAGTATCGGCCAGCCTGTGGTTCCCTTCCTCACACAGATTCAATCTTCAACGATTATTGACGTTTAAGACCTTCCCTAGGCTAGGGCTCCGAGTACCTTCGTTTCGAAGCTGGGGCTGGGCTGGCTTTAGAGCCTTTGAGGGTCCAGTCATACCGGTTCCCTGAGGCACGACTGGAGCCCTAGCTTGGTAGGAAAACAACATAAAACAACGTCCAACAAGATCACCATCAGCTGGTGGACGCCCTTCGCACCAAAACCAACGCTGCTATCCGCTCGGACCGGCCCACGTTGGAGGGAGACGAGACGGGAGAAACGCTGATGTGGAGAGGGTGGAGCTGCCATTCGACTTTTCGTATTCTGGTTTAACGTGCCAAAGTCGCAGACTTGGACCTCTTCATAGTGACGAAATCGGCCAAAAAATAGAAACACAAATCACAGACCATCCCTGAAAAAACACACACCTTCCAGCTACTTCCCCCACCTCCCACCGGCCCGGCCCAGACTCCCAGACATTGCGACAAAAAAAACCGCCCAGCCTCCCAGATCGGGCTGTCGCACCAAGGATGTGGTCCAAGACTCTGGACTTGTCACCGTTATTGGCCACCTCCGACAGTGACCCGGTGTGTGATGTATACGACCGGGAAACACCGTCTCTATTTTGGCCACGGTGTTGGTGTGTCCGTCTTTCTGTTGAGTTATTGGTTAGATGAAAAACGGGAGACACCGGGACACCGTGTTGATTTGCCGCGGTGGGTCCGTTGGTAGTGTCCGTTGATGTGGTGTTTTCGTGTTTTTTTCCATCGGCAGTGTTTCACGGCCGGGTGCGGGTGGGGAGGGCTGGTGGGGTGTGTTGGATGGATTTTGGATGGGGTGAACATTCAATCAGAAAAAGATGGGAGACTGGGGCGGTTTTGGGTGGCTTCAAAAAGTTGGGAACTCAGTTTCGGGCTTGGCGTGCAATGTAAGCCTTCCTTTTGGGTTCTCCCATGTCATTGTCAAAGTTTTTTTGTACCGGATGTGCATCAACTGTGGCTTGGGGGAGGTTTTCTGTCGATTTGGTTAGGAACCTTGAGATGTCCTCATGTACAGCGTGTCGCTGCTTGAAGGGGTTCACAGCCTGCATGGGAGGGCATAATGTGTATTCTAACAGTTCTTTTGCTTGGGATTAGTGTTACACAAGACCCAAGGGTTCCGGGCAAGTTATGAAACCATAAAGATCTCTTCCAGCCCAATATATAGATGTTGAATGATGTTGAGGTTTTGTTCTGGGGGCCAGTGTGCCTACAACCACCCCAAATGTGTGGAACATCAATCGAACCACTCCAAAACTGTTTTCACAGAATTTTAATGCGCCAAGTGTCATCCACCACGCCCAATGCCCAAACCTCCCGGGGCATCCTCTTCAGGTAACCCGGCGGTGGATAACATTGCCATTGGTTTGCGGAAGGAGGGCGTTCGAGCAGTGCTTGGCTCAGTCGTTACAAGAAGAAGAAGAAGAAGCAGAAGAAGAAGAAGAAAAACACAAATAAACAATACACACAAACAGAATAATCAATAGATGAAGTAGTATAATGCCGGCGTAAACATCCCCATGGCTTTTGCGGCACATGTTCGTTCGCCTTCCTCAGGTGCGCGTGGGTCGCCCCGACAAGATCAACCGAATCCTCGAGGAGATTACGTGGCTTAGCTGAGCTGGTGACGGGATACGACCAGTCTGGTGGTCGTACCCCGGATCCACAGAGAGATATGTAACATATTTAGGAACCATTAATGCAGTTTGTGAAGATCAGTAATAAAAAGGTGGTTGAAAAGGTCAAATGCGTTTGTTTTCGTGGATCCTTGTGGTGCCTTTTGGTTGTTCAGCTTATGAGAGGTATGGAATGGTCACATCGCCTCTTCCTTCACAGCCACTACAAATCTTTGAATGCTCAGCCATGATGAGTATGAGTGAGTCAAGATCAGTGTGGCCATGGTTCTATTATATACTGTTTCTAATCCCTAAGGCTCCAAGTACATTCTAAGAAGGTGCAGTCATACACTCTGAGGAGGTACCACTGGAGCCCTATAGGGAAGATGAATTGTCTTTGACATCTTCCCTTCCAACCTGCATTCTGCACTTTCGACTTGCCAGGTTGGAATGTCTACTGGACAAGGAAAAGGAGGAAATGAAGAACCGGCGGCCCGGAGGAAAGTCGATGTCCAGACATCGGCGCGGAGGAAGGTCGATGAACTCTCGAAGTCCGTGCGGCGACGGCCGATTCTGGCGTTTCCATGTGTTGAATGCAGATCATCAAGAGCGCTCGAGGGTTGTTAACTATACTACTCCATAAACGAATTCACTGCACCTTTCCAATTGATGTTGAGAGACCTTCTACAACGCTGTAGTGGTACATCTGATGGTTTTCTTCAGCTGCTCAACCTCTCTGAAAGCAGATTCCCCATCTCCCCAAACCACCGGGCACTCTCTACCGGGCCTCTCTCGACTGCGGCCAAGGCAGTACGAGGCGCGCTTCAAGTCGCGCTCGCGCTCCAAGACGGGCAGCCCCAAGCGGCGCAAGGTCTCGCGCTCGAGGCGGACCCGGGACGCGACGCGGTGAAGGAAGGGACAAGGGGGATGGATGGGGATCCGGTTGGGGTTGCTTTAAGGAGCTCCTGGACTGAAACACACCTCTTCAATTAATTGGGAGCCACTTCTTAGCCACTTGAGGTCCATGGTCCATAGTGGTTTAGCCACTATTTTCATGTGTGGACACTGACGTGTCTCCTTGAGTTGGCAATGCTAGCAAAGGCACCGGCAGTGTGTAGGAATGTGTGTTTTTGCATGTTGTGTGATGCATGTCAGTGACCGTTTCGAGGGCCTGAAGTGCACGTTTTCGAGTCCGAACACTTCCATCATGACAGCTTCTAAGCAAAGACTTTTGAGACATCAACATTCAGATGACAGTTCCCTTGAGGGAGTAAGTTTGGGCCGGCTACACAAGTTTCATCAAGATTTCCATGAAAGAACTCGGCCTTCTTTTAGGTTTCCCGGGCCTTGAAGATAAGCCAAGGATGTTGGAGAATTCGGATCCTTTCTGAGTCCCAGTGGGGAACAGCTCTCAACATCAGCAGAGTTGCTCGCAGGTCGAATTCGGCTCCGAGAAAAGCGGCAGCCTCAGATTGCGGACGACGACGGGGCAGGGACAAGCTGAAGCCACTGTAGTTGCAAAGGACAGCAATTCAGTTCACTGAAGGAAATTGGTACAGGGCGGGTCTCATGTCTTCCGCATATATGCCCCATTGATTAACAAGAGCTGTGTCCAAGATCCTGCAGAAATCGGCGAAGTGGATGAGTGCCACTGTCTTGCCTCTCCACCACAGACTTGCCTCATTGCAAGATAGCAATTGTTGAACTACCCAAAAGGCGGGACGTTTATAAATGTTCATGTGCCCCATTGGTTGACTTGCAGATCAAGCTGGTTTTGTTCCATCTGAGGGGAAGGGCAAAGGCAAGGGCAAGGGCAACGTGAAGAATGACTTCGAGCTCCAGATGCGAATCTTACAGGCACCGGCACCTGCGAAGGGGCACAGGCTGTGTATGCCAGGAGGGTCGGGACGCCGAGCCCGTTCGGTGGAGCCTGAAGGGCGTCGCTACAGACCCACGGCTGCCGCTTTGCTTTCATGCCACCGGTGGATCACAAGTCCCTGAAAATCACATGCTTTCTCCCTGCTGGACCCTCCCAGTGGTTTATTCTGTTCATTGCCCCTCTGGTTTGTTCAGACGGCACACTGCCAGAGTGGCTGGAAGTAGTTCCAGTGGCTTTCTGAAGGGCACGTGACAGACGAACGAGAGTGATTCTTGAGTCAATGCGAATCCGCGCACATTGCACCAGCAACAAGGGGTGCACATTTGCACCATGCTTCCAAGAAACAATCATGTGTACCTTCGCCAGTGGAGTTGGAGATGAAGGACTTTCAGATGTTGAGAACGTGTTTGGTCAAAGTGTTGACCAAAGGCGTTCTTTTTTACATCTTTAACGTAAACATCAACGCATGTTTGTTGACAAAAACCCTGTCTTCAAATGAGCGGAACATTTAAGACCTCCCTTGGCAGCATGTTTGGCACTCAGCATTTTTTCCAGGTGTCGAAAGGGGGTTTTCCGCCGCAAGTGGAAACTCGTGGAACCCTTGACCTAACGATCCTAACCCGTGGAAACCTTATGGTCTGTGAAACGAAACCTGCGGAAATTATGATGTTCTTTCCTACCTGCAACCTGATGGTGTTTAGCCATCAGGACGCCGATGTCATTTGCACGACCACCATCTCCTCCGGCACCTTGGCATGACACACGACCATCTCCTTCGGGGTGGGCCTGGCCAGACTCGAGCGAGGGACCCGAGCCATATGACTGCCAAGATCTCTAAGGGTTATATATATATATATGTATACTGTCCCATAGGGTCCAGGTACCTCCTGAGGCTGGTCTTAGAGGTGAAAGTACTTCCAGAGAATGGTCTTTGGGGCCAAAGGACATCCTCAGGATGGTCCTGGACCCTTAGGGGTAAGTCATAATGGCTCACGTGGATGGACCGCCCGGATTTGGAGGCACAAGCTGAAAAACCCAACAGGCCGGTTCCAGCTTCCATGATCATTCCGGGGAGTGCCAACCATTCCGGTCAAGACACCAACGATGTGGTGCTCCCAAGGAGCTTCCCAGCGAGTGAGCTGGACCAGTTTGGTGGGATAGGGATGCTCCGAATTCCAAAGGTTCCGGATGCACAAGATGTTGGTGATCCATGTTCCCTAGGGCTCCTGGCCCACCTCCGTTTCGAAGGTGGGCCAGGGGTGGGTGCCAAGGGGGTCTAACCACCGAACCTGAGGATATGGTTGGAGCCCTAGGGGTTGTTCATGTTCTTGACTCCTGGGCATCACTCGTGGTGCATCTCATGTGATGCAGATCACAAGCTGAATGGGGTTGGGCGATGTTGAACGGATGTGTGCCATCTACTCCATCTACTTGGCTTGTAAGGCTTATTTGATAAAGCTTGCTGAGCGCAAGTGTCCTCAATCTGTTTAACTCGGATTCCTTCATCTTGTAATTGTAAGATGATGAAAACCGTGTTTTGTTCCATCAGCTTGGACGTGAAGCAAGAACACATCATCCGGTGTTGCACAGGCGGTGACTTCTTTTCCAAGTTCGCCTTCGCGGGGGTCCTCATCGATGAGGCGTGTGCCCTGCCACGCGTGCCACCTCTGTGTGTCGGTGGGACTGGGGAGCCGAAGATCCACATGGGGAGCCAAAGATCCACGTGGGGAGCCAAAGATCCTTAGAACAAACCAACCCAGGTTGAAGGACCCTATATAGACTATCCCCATAAGTACCCCAGGTGACGGGCCCTATAAGGTCGCTGAACCTCTCTTGGAAGGGCTCCAACTGTATACTCAGAAGGTGATTCGACACCCCAAACCCATCCGGAGACAGCTCGAAGCAAAGCCCATCCATCCGGCCTCCAGTCGTACCTTCGCTTTCGGTTCGGTGGGACGGTGGGGGGCCGGGGGCCATGTGCGGGTCCAAAATGGTTCAATCAGCCCCTTCTGAGGAGACTTCTGAGGAGGTACGAAGGAAGTAGCCCTAGGGTTGGGGTACTTGATTGGTTGAATATTTGCCATGTTGCAGCTTGAATATAATTAGCAACCGTAAGTGTGAAAGATGACGACCCTCAAAGAAAAGATAGCAGGGTATATGGTGTACCCATCATTTTCAGAAGTTCCAGACCTTGAATGAGCTTCTAGCAGCTAAAAAGAAGCCCCATTGAAACCAACAAACTTCCCATAACTTCTGTAAACCACGCCTTCACTTCGAAAGGGCTCATGAAGGCCACCAGTACCCACGCTTTGCTTGCGTTTGCTGGCGCGCGCAGAGGCGGCGCAAGCCACCGAGTTGGCGGCCATCGTGCCGCTGATCTTGCGCGGCTCCCAGCGGCTGGTGCTGGTAGGGGACCAATGTCAGCTGCCACCCACCGTGCAGTCCTCCGAGGTGGGGTTTTCCCGGGCCAGGGCGAGCGGGCAGATAGAATTTAGAATTCACAACAACCTGTTTAAAGTGGGTGTGCTTATTGATATAGTCCTTTAAAATGCCCTTTAAATTAATATCCTATATATTATGGTAGACTCAGGTGGACTCCTAGATTGTCAAGAACTCTTCGATACTCTTTCTTGTGAGGAAGGTCCCGGTCGTTCCGGCGCCTTGCACATCGCCAGGCTGAGGAGCGAGGGCTATCGCTGTCCTTGTACTCTCGTCTCTTGGAAAAAAAGAGCATGCCGATCAGTTAAGGTGGTGCCAGGGTGGTCAATGTATAGGCATATAATTGCATATACCTTTACCATCCTTTACCATCCTTGACCCAGAATAGGCAGACATGTTTGCCCAAGAAGAGCTTCTAGATGGTTCGTTCGGTATACCAGTCCCATGGAGTGTTTGGGGTGATGTTTGCGCCGCATGTACTGTTCGCTGGTGTTTCGATCCAGCGGAACGAAGAAAGGAAGTGATCACAAGACAACGTAGAGCAGATAGGGCTCTCAGAGTGGCTCACGGGTTTGTTCCTATTACTGTAGGTAGGATTACTAGGTTGATCTAGGTTGCTAGCAAAACCACAGGCGGATGTAAGACTTCCCAAAGGCCCCATGTCCCGCAGATCGTCGTCGCCCTGGCGGTTTTGGAGGTTGTTGTTCTTGCACGGAAGCTTGTGGCATACTTCAAGCTCTTAAGACTTCTCAAATTCTGAAACTCCTTCAGGTCATGGTGCTTTCGAACATGCACGCCTGGAGGTTTTCGCGTCTTCTTCGACAGTTTCCTGTCAGTGGGGACAGTCTCATGCAGAAGCACCACATGGTCTCCAGGGTGAAAGACTTTGACGCTCCACTTGAACATCGCTTCCTTGGAGATTTCGTCTCACCTTTTCTCACCCCATCTCACCCCAAGAGTCATGCAGTGGCAGTCATGCAGACGCTTCTTGGAGCGCTGCGCGTGTGCGCGCGCGCCGGTTGCGCCTGCTTTGATAGGCATGGTGGACTCGGGAGGGCTGACACCCTTCCTTTTGGACACGCAATACCGGAGTCATCCGGTCATCGCAGAGGCCGGAAGTAGCATTCAGGTGCCCGGGGAGAGGCACAGGGATCAAGCTGTGAAACCTACTTTTGTCGGTCTCCAGCAAGGGCACCTTCAACAAGTTCCAGGTATATTAACTAGAAGTTAGATATATGTAGCCCTAGCTATAGCCCTATATAGTAAGTACTAAAAAACTAGACCAAATAAATCCTTGGACCCACTAGGGCTCCGGGCTAGGAAACCCCCAAATACTCAAGCAAAAACCCTTGCCACTCTGGGGAAAAACATGTGGGAATTGTATGGAACTGTTCAAAGGGACAAGCACACCGTCATCCCCGTTTCCGTGGTCGTCCTCAGCCCTCCATGGATCTTCACGAAGGGTCCTGAGGTCTTTTTCGGTCACCCGCAATGTGTTTGACTGAGCGATCTGGGGCGCACAATGTCAGACTGTGCGTCGAGACATGGTTTTTTGCTGTTTTCTTTTTTCTCAGTCGTGGTGGGAACCTGAGTGCTGCTGCTGCTGCTGCTGCTGGCGATTGCCTGGTTGTGTGGATTTGTGTGGTCATTGGTGCGGTGGTGTGGCCACAGGTGTGGATGTGGGAGTGTGTTAGCGTGGAAGAAATTCAATCCTGGCTGTCCTGTTGAATTTTGTTGGGAGTGTATCATAGTGGGCAAAGGTATCGACACTAAAATGCTCAAAGCAAGTTCAATAAGAGATAGATCTCGACATCAGCAACGTCCTTTTTTGACTTGCTTGACTCGCCAAACTCACCTGTGTCCAGATATTTCGAGGGTCACTTCAGGACAGTGGGACGTCGTTTGTTTGAGCACGCACCGCACGCTCTCTTGAGCACGTTGAACCCGCCGGTTCGTCAAGCATTTTCATATACAGTAGCTTTCCAAAGGGTTAGAGAGGGACTAACCACTTGCAGAACATTTTCCCTAGGGCTCCAGTCGTACCTCCTCAGAAGGTATGGCTGGACCTGAACATGGCACCCACCCCAGTCCCGCCTTCTTAGAATGTACTTGGAGCCCTAGGGTTTATAGCATTTTTGCAGGGTAAGAGACAATTCATCACCCAATCCATGACACTTCAGCATTGCTGTGAGGTTTGGCTGGGCACTTCCTCCACCCCTTGCTGTAACGCCCTACTTGACCGGCCTTCGATTCAGACACCTGCAGAGATATTCTGTCATACCCAAACACTCCATGGGACTGCCATATATGCCGATCAGTTGGGGTGGTTTTGGGGGTCAATGTAGGCATATATGGCGGTCCCATGGAGTGTTTGGGATAGGGATCTCATGAATGATGGATCTCGCACAGCCTCATGCCTCGGCCAGTTTTCTGCACGAACCTTTTATGCCGGCAAGCAGCTGGGTGGCAAGTCGGACAGGGGGAAAAGGGTGATCAACGATGTAGACGAGGCAAGCGATGGTCACTATCAAACATGTTTCATGTTTGCCTATTTGATGAAGTTGCATAATGAATTGTCACCTGAATCATGCAATCCAATGATTTGTTGAAGTCAATCAGACGATTCCGCCAAACACTTGACTCCATGTCCGTGTGACAAGACATGGCGATTTGGGTGGTTGTTGGCAGACATTCCGCCACCCCTACAGGAAGAAAACACATTTGCCGTCCTTGGCACCACCAAAACTGAGGCTTCCAGCTTGGACCCTGTTTTAAACAGAGCTTCAAGCAGCGGATTGTGGAATGGAGTCGTGGGATGTGGGTGGAAGACTTCACCAGATGCGTCCAAAAAGGTGGATTTCCCCAGCAATATGACTAATGTGATGAAAGAGTGGAACCTGTTCCCGCTGTTTGTGCATGTTTGTTTCGTTCTCCAATGGGATTTGATGGATCCCTGTTAGACCATGTTACACCCATGATCATCACGGCACCACTTTTTCGCCTCGCCGGCGCGACGCCGCCGCGCTGCTTGTTGTGTGAGGCTGAAGTCGGGGATCAAAGGGAGTGACCGCAAGCAGATCCGTGGCAGCTCGGATTTTCAGAACTAGGATCAAGTGGAGAATTAGTAGCAAGAAGGTACTAGGTTGGAGGCCATCGCTAGTAGCTTGGAGGCCATCACTACTAGTAGCAAGAAACTACTAGGTTGGCCATTGAAGGCCATTGCCTCCAGACCGGAAATCGGTAGTATGGCATTTGGTTCACTCCATGGCCCGACACCCTAAGTTCCATGGCCTACTCGTCTATGTCCCATACCCCCCTAAGTGGCGTGGCGCCAAGCCCCTCTGTGAGTGGCACCAGATACTCCACATCTGGCATCCCAAATTTTGAGATACTGTTTTTCTCCTACTTTCGGATCTATCTACCCCTCAGAATCCCGACATCGCTGATGTGAACCACTTCTCACCCAGTGAATCACGCTGCTCGCAAGCTAGCCGCGTGCCTCGGCGGAACCCGAGGCTTGCCGTGGCCCAACCACCAGTCGCCCATCGCCTTCCTCCCATCGGATGGTCAAGAAGAGGAGGAAGGTGAATCCAAGCGCCTCACGCTGCACAGTTTCGGCCACTGTTTCACTCGCGGGATCCGAAACCACAGAGGTGTGAAAAAAATCCGCGCGGATGGACGAGAACTGGTGGATTCGCTGGACTGATTTAACTTACAGTTGAGAGTATGGATGTACTGTATATGAGATAATGGATTGTTGACATAATGGTTGACATTATGTCAAGGCTTAATGTATATGTTGACTGATTTAACTTCAATTTAATGTATATACGAGAAATGTTGACATAATATTGACTATGGATTACATGGATTACTCTGATCCCACTGCCGTAGAATGGTCGTTCACATCTTAACATGGAGAGTTCTATATGACTATATGATGAACCAACAAGTCAACATAGTGAGTTGGTCATTTATACTATGAAATTTCTGCTTGGGTGTCACCTGAAGGGTGTTCCTGTTCTTGATCGACCTGACCGAACAGCAGCGGCTGTTCTTTTTGCCGCTGGGTGTGTTGAGGCCTTCGGATTAAGGGGTGGTCTATGGTGGAAACGAAGCCCGTCTAGGATGTGACCCATTACCAGCAACAGTCGAGAACAGATTCTCACTATTTCAGAGAAAGGCCAACCTAACCATCAATTGCTGGTAATGAGGCCCCAACACCACCAAATACCTGGCGTTAAAAGGAGTTTGTTGATTCATCTCCAATATATGGCATGATTAAGTCTTAACTATGTAACAAGGACGTATTATGAGACCTGCTGCTTGTTCATTTGCCCTAGTGGCTCCAGGGGGTTCTATCTACTTCATCCCCCAGAATTTCTACTCAGGTGCTGAGGTTACTGCAACACATGTTGCCCATTCAATCGAGGCCATGAGAGTTCCAGACACCCAAAGAGCTCCGAGAGCTCCGGCTCTGAGTCAGAGCTCAGGTACAATCCCACCGAAGCGGAGCTGGTCCAGCGGCTGGTTCAGGAGCGACCTTTGGTCAGTTCTGTTGCGATGGGTTTTTCTGATGGGCATGTTGTCAATGTCTCAATCTCGCCTCCAGACCTCTTCTTTTTTGGCACTCAAATGGTGCAAATTGTGGGTAGTTGATGGACCAATCCAGTTCCAGTTGCTGCATTCTTCCCAGTTCCTGTTCCGGTCCGGTCGTGTGTGGGACATTTTATCGCCACAGTCCTTCTCGCTCGGCTGGACCTTGAGAGGTACTTTTCGGGCCGATGGAGCACATCTAAAATCAGTCAAGATCACCTAAGAGAATCCATAGTGAATCAATGTAAATCAAACAGTCAAGATGAAAGTTTTTGACATCTCTGTATTGCTTTCCTTTTTCTCATCACATCAACCTACATCTATCGGGATTCTCTCGGGCTGTGGCTGCAATGGCAAAGAAGGGATCATGAGGAGAACGCATCTAGTCATCTTCATATCCCCTGTCCTCCGGATCAATCGCAACACCCATGCTGTGGAATCTCTTTGCGTGGGGCATAGACATCCCCCTTCTTACATCTTCTTACTTCTATTCTGTTCTATATTCACAGAGTTTAGTGGAAGCCACCCCAACAGGACTCGTGGAAGAGCGATGTTGCAAAGTTGCCCGACAAGATTCCAAAGCTCAACTATGTTCGACTGCGTTTGGATGATTGGTCTTGGCAGAGTTGAACAGGTCTTTCAAACCGCACATGTTCCTTGCACCACCAGGCTAGCGAAAAGGCGTCGCGTGTGCAGGACGCTTTCTTCCAGCGGGAGTTGGAGATTACCGAGATTGGTGTGGTCACACCCTATGTCGCACAGGTGCGCTTGCTGAAGAGGCGCGGGCCTTTGCGTCACGTTAGAAACAGTGAGAAACAATGGGGAGGTGCCGATAGGAAGCTTGATAGAAGGACTCCCACAACGATGAACAGAATTGGGTTAATCACCATTTGAACACCTGAATAACAAAGCAGGAATTTGTGTCCATTGTTTGTTGACCCTTGCACCATGAAATACAATGACCAACGGGATTGGAAAGTTGGCTTTGCTTCACTTGCTGGATTCTGTGCATTTTGAGTTCGAGACTTGGCGATATCGAGGTGCTTGCGTCCCGTGGATGACCCACAAACACGCTGCAACCCCTCTTATTTGTTCCAAACGGTCACCATCGACCTGACCTCTCCACCGTTGCCTTGAGAGACGACGACGACTCGCGAACGTGATATATCCCAGACACTCCATTGGTATCCACGCTCAAACCACCCCCATGTAGGTATCTTAGGGTATGATACAGTCGTGTATTCAAGAGATTCCACGAAATATCCTGTCATATCCTGTCATCCAATTCCAGACATCTACCGAGTCGGACTCCGATTGGGGGGCTTTAGACCCGGTCCTCCGGCGACGTCGAACTCCGCGGCGGCACTCGGTGGGTGGACTGAAGGAACCTCAGAGGTCCCGATCCACGTGCCTTCGAAGGTGATTGGAGACTATTGAAGTAGGCGCCAGGGCCCAGTCATACCTTCAAAGAAGGGCCCAGTCATACCTTCATACCTTTTCTTTTTTCCTTACCTTCAAAGAAGGTCTGTGGAGGGAGGGTCTCCGCCAGAGCGGAATCGACCTCGGAGGATGTGCAAACAGATCATCCCAGAAGGTATGGACCCGGAGCTCCTCGAGCGCCTCGGTGGGCAAGGCGCTCTCGTCCGTGCGTTGGGGGCGGACAGCCAGCCTGCCGGGTTTAGAAGGTGGTCCGCCGGAGGCGGTTCAAATGGGGTTGAATGCTGGAGGGAAGGCTATGGGGCTTAGACTTAGAAGCTATTCAGCATTTTTCGGCGATATTCTTTCCATTTCAAGTACGATGCATTTTGGTGTCTATGGCAGTCAAGGTTCCAAAGGCTCCATGCGCATACATGGCTCACAGATCAATCTGGTCACAATTTCCATGGAGAAAGCCCTTATAGTGGGCGTGCTTCCCCAACCGCATTTGTGCTCCCTTTTGTATACTCCCTTGCATGGAGCCCCAAACCCAATGAATGGTTTTCCAGGGGTCCATTCTCGCGGTCCATGTTAGTTTCCGGGTTTTGAGGGCACAAACCCTTGTTATAGAGGGTTCGGCCCCTTCTAAGGAGGGTCCAAGGATCCTTAGGGCGGGGGGATGTTGGAAATCACACACACACCAATCACTTCGACATGGCGTCTCTTCCTCACGGCCCGCCCTTCATCCGTCTTCGCGGAGCTCCGGAAGCTTTCTTCCCGAACGCGTGGGAGCTTTTCCTCACCCAGACGTGACTCGTGGGACTGCCAGTCCGGAACTGCCTTAACGGCCGATCGGGGTGGTGGACTGCGGGATCTGTCTGGGGCGGTAGGTCCGTCCTGACAGTCCCAGGACGGGTCGCGTCCGGAGTCACGGTCTTCGCGTCCCGCGCCGGGATCGCTCGGATCGCCGGGATCGCTCGGATCGCCCGGTGGGTCGCGGTGGGCAGTGGCTGAGGATCGCCTCGGTGGATCAGTTCCAGGGCCGCGAGAAGGATCTCATCATCTTCTCCGCGGTGCGCTGCAATAGGCGACGGAACATGAGCTGGAGGGAGGGTGAGCCGTGGGCCCGCGGCAAGTGGATGGCTCCAAAAGAAGAGGGGGGCTGTAGCTGTAGGGAGGCGACCGGCTTGACATGGCTTGACATGAGCAGTTCGTACGGAAAATGGTTCGAAGCAGCTGCTCCAAGCACTTCCGTCGCCTCGTTCCGTTTGCAGGGTGGGCAACGTGGGCTTCCTCGCCGATTGGCGACGGCTGAACGTCATGCTGACGCGCGCGCGGCGAGGGATGCCACTGGGCAGTGAAGCGATTGTCCGCGTCTTGGACGCGTGGTTCACAGACCCAGGACACGTGGAGACTGTAACCTTTATATAACCAATTTGTTGTTTTCAAAGAAGGAGTCAGTTCAGGTCCGCAGAGATATGGCTGTGGGTCATGGCAGCGAGACACCGTGCTTTTGTCCCACCAAAAGTGGAACAGAATAATACAGAATAGACTTAGGAGGGAGATCAATCTATCAGCTTTTCCGGCCTGGCAGGGTGAAAACACCCGGCCAAACATAGCAACGGAGGAGAGTGGACCAACTGAACTTTGTTGTAGCAAGCTTTTACAACCTCAAGGCATCAACCCCTTGGTCAGCTAGGTATATGCATATGAGTTAGTCAGCTATGTATGTGCCTAAAAGGGCACTACACCTCTCAGCCGTACACTGCTCGCGAACACTTGCATTCAGTTGATTAGACCTTGCTATGAAACATACAATAGGCATGTGCAGCGTGTAGGGGCTTTTCTTCCTTTCTGCCAGCGAAGCAATTCACTGCCGTAGACTTACTGGTTACACCACGCAGTTTAGGGTTCAGGGTGCTGGGATGAGGTCGGGTCGTTGCCTGGGACGACTGAGCTCCAGAGCTTAGTACAGGGTACATTTCGGTGGTACCAGGATGGAGTGTTGATCCAGAATGGTGTTGCATCTCCATCAATCAACAGTATACATTACTCAACCAGAAGGTGGTGCATGAGCTGCAAGATTTGGCGTGTTTCTCGAAATGCTGTCATTGCAGGGTGGTGGTGGGGAATTCCCACACCTTGAAAGCCGACGAGCACTGGGAGAAATGGCTGCAATTCTATGAGAAGGTGGCCTCAGGCTCGAAAAGCAAAGAACAAGAGAGTGCTATGGAAACACTTTGGCTCGTGCAATCGAAGATTTTGCAGTTTGTGCAACAATCCTGGGGGCATAGAGTGGCTACCATGATTGAAGTGGGTGGAAGTGGGCATGCCCAAAAGAACAAGGTGGGTAGGAGGAACCTTGTCGATCCTTGGCTTCCAGGAAGTTATGGATCGATGTGGGTGGGAGCATCAGAACCAGAGGCGTCCGATGTGCTCGTATTGGGTTCAAGGACGCGAGGTTGAAGGACATCTAATTGATCTGACTGGGGATCATTGGATCTGATCCTGTGAGCAGGATTCGCTTGAGCCAGAAACTGGCATCTCTACCATTTGCCACCCCCATCTCAGACTATATAAGTCTTCTAGATCGACATCTACAGACTCCGGGTGCACATGTACCCATCGGCCCATTTTCCTGTCCCTAGGGCTCCTGTCCCATATCCTCAGGTTCGGTGGTATTCGACCCCCCTAGTCCACCCACCCCTGGCCCATCGAAACGAAACGGAGGTGGGCCAGGAGCCCTAGGGCCTAGGGTGTTCCGAACGCCAAGCCGTGCTTTCCAGCTTTCCAGGCCGTGCTCGATCCCCAAGCCCCACGAAAAAGAAGCAGGAGGCCGGCTCGCACGAACGTGGCGGTTTTTGGAACGCTTGGCGGTTTTTGGCCCACAGAAGGGGAGTGGCCATAGGCCGTAAGTGCGTGGTGGTTTCAGAGATGTTTATGTTCAACCTTTGCTTGGGATGATTGAAAACACTGACTCGTATGTTTCAAGTGAGTTGAAGCCACCAAACCAGATCCAATGCATGCATGAATCGCCCCTTTTTTCCATGATTTTGCCCCGCACCCCGGATGGGTTTTCACGGAGCTTCGCAGCTGCAAACTGTTTGCCACTTCGTTGTCTTGACCTGCGAGGAGAAACGTTTGGGCAGCCGTTGATTTGTTTTAAGTCTCTGGGAAGCCCGGGTAAAAGGCGGAACTGGTCGGTCCTTGTGTGATGGCGTGTCATCCTTTTTCTCCAGCGGCTGTTTGTTTGCGCAACTTGCTTGTGCCTGGAAAGAGATCTCTATGACTTGCTTCTCCACCATCCCACGAACGTTCGAAAGTCAAATCGAACGTCTCGAACATGCGATTCAACGTGGAAAGCAGCATGGAGCCTCGAGTAGACTTCCCCTGCTCCACGGCCACAAGTAATCTGCAAGGAACTGCTCATCACAGAAACATTTGGTAGTTGCATCAGTGGAACTGTACTTTTGAACTCGATCCCACCACCAAAGGCCAAACGTACCAAGCAAAGAGACTTTGACTTATGTTACTTATGTTGTATAGTTGTTGCTGCCGTCATCACAGAAGGAACTGTCTCACACATGGTTAACATGTGGATGTTGCATGCTTTAAATGGCCATTGGCAGGCTTTTGCAAACTGAACGTCGTCAGCCCCATCCCACCCACTTTCCAGACCGGACTGTTTGATACGAATGAAACTCGAAGTGCATGGTGTTGCCCCTGATGCGGGTGGGTTCACTCCACCACCCGCATGGACCAGGCGCCTCCTAATGAGACGGAGGAGGAAAAGGAGGCACGGCTGAAGAAGGAGCGCCACTTGGGCTGACAAGTCCCGACCGCGCGCACAAGACTCTCCACGTGCAGAAGATGAGAAGTAAGTTGTCTAGGAGAGGGGGTAGGGGAGGCTTCTTTAGGTTGAGCATAGTGGCGACACACAGCATACACGGCATACTTGGGAAGGGTTGGGGCTTAATTAACCTGGTGTAGCCTAGCCATAATGTGAACTGTTGATTAGTCGACCCGTCTCCAGAATGGTCTTACATCTTCAAACTTATATAGATCGTAGACCATATTATGAATCAACAGTTATAGATGCCTTCATATGTTTTAGAGCTTCCTTTTCATGTTGCAGGCCTGAAAGCTTGCTGTTTCACTGAGGCATTGAGGCCGCACGGAAGCTCTCGATGGCCATCCGCTTCCCGGGCTTAGCCATGGCCCAGCAGAAGAAGAAGGCGTGGCCCTGCTGTTCGTGCGTGTGCCAGGGAGTGAGTCAAGTTGGGGGATTAGATGGGATGTGGAGAAAGCTAAGTGCAGATTCGAAGTCACATCCAGCCACGATTCCAAGCTCCTGTGACAATGGTGTTGAGCTTCAACTCAGTGTTGGTTGCTCGCCGCAAAATTCTGCCGTTCGTAGCTTGTTCTTTGTCTCTATTGCGGATGAACCTACCATGATCTACTAAATACAGACACTTCCAACCCCCAGCTAGAGCCTTGTACAAACTGATGCTGCAAAGATCGACCTGCGACCGAAGAGACTTGGACAATTCGGCCTAGTAGCAGGTTGATGACCTGGGCCCTGCCATTGGAAGTCAGCCAGTGAAGGAATGGGTAATTTATTTGCAGCACAATCATTCTTCGCATCAGTCCGAATCCAAGATATGAGATGGCTGGCTGTGCGATGGTGTCGTAACGCTTTGCCGCTACATTTGCCAACATTTTGGAAAACATGGGTCGCAGAATTTGCGATTGCCTGATGTGGCAAACAGTTTGCCCATGAATTCGGCAGTCCAGATCAGAGACCCTCAACTTTCTTCAAATCAACCTATTGCTTGTTCGGAACTCTATATAGTCAGACAATGTGTGGACTGAAATAATGGAAGGAGGAAAGTAGAGCAAACACGATTTGTATTTGGGGTCCTCTTGTTTTCAAATTGACGAACCCATTTGATAGTCAGGTGACAGGTGTTCCACACCGGGGTTGGTCCAAGGCTCCAGGGCTTCATCCAAGTAGCTCCCATCACCAGGCTCAGAAGCAAATGATCCGCCTGGGCAACTCCTGCAACGACTTGGTTCATGCTTTTCAGACAAGGTGTAGGAATCTAAACGCGTCTGGTATGATCACAAAGGTACGGTTTGAGGCAACCCTTTCCAAGACTATTGGTAGAGTTTTGGAGGCTGGGTCTGGGTTGGTGTAGTCGGAAGATACCCCTGATTATCTCAAAGGACGAAAGGAGAGGTGATTGATGCATGCGCATTTGCCTTGCCCATTTACAGCAACATAATATTGACAATTATTGACATATTGTCTTCGCAGAAAGTTTAGTATCTTGAAGTCGGGCGATGGCGTTTGTTGTTTCTCGATCAGCTTCCAGCCAGACTTGTCAAGAGTTGTTTGGCGCCAGAAGTCTTGCCGTTGCTTACGCCTGGAGAAGCATGTCCAGTGTGGTGCCCCTCCAGACCGGTGGAGCTGCAGCAGGCTGGCAGGTGAGTTCCCATGGCAGGGTGTGCGACACTAGAGGACAAGCATCGTATGGACACTTACAGCCAACAGGCTACTACAGGGTCAAGATATCAGGCAATTCCTTTTTGGTCCATCGCTTGGTGGCCTTCGCTTTTCTCGGTCCTTCACCTGATGACTTGACATGGCAGGTGCATCATCGCGATGGCAACAAGGCCAACAATCTTTTGGACAACTTGGAGTATGTAACGCCAAGCCAGAACATCATTGCCTCGTATGCCAGTCAAACTAGACGTTGTGGCGGGGCTCGGCGGTCCATACCTGTGATGTGGAGAGCTGTTGAGTCCCAAAGCTGGAATATCTCCTCCTCAATGACGCAGGCAGCAGCTGAGCTTGGCATGAGCCAGCCTTCAGTTGCGAGGGGATGCCGTCAAGGCACAACAGTGAAAGGTCATGAGTTTCAAGTTGCGGACAGTCATGGGACAGGAGCGCTGGAGGGAGAGGACTGGCAACAAATGTATGATCCCGTGTTTGGCTTGAAGGTGCCTGGACGGATGGTGAGCTCTTCTGGCCGGATCAAATCTCAAACAGGTTTGGTATCTTGGGGACACTTAGAGAAGTCAGGGTACTACAGGACCGGCATCAGCTTAAATTCTGACAGACGTGTTGAACATGTCCACCGTCTTGTGGCATTTGCATTTCTGGGGCCGCCTTTATCTCAACGTCGCGTGTATGTTAACCACAAAGACCTGGACAAAAGAAATAACTCAGCTGAAAACCTGGAGTACGTGACACAATCTGAAAACATGGCACACTTTTATTCGAACACAAGCATCAGAAACTGCACCAGTGGCAGGCCAATCGAGAGCAGATTAAAGAGCAGCAAAGAGTGGACAAAGCATTCATCTATCCGCAACGCTGCCGCTGCGCTCGGCATTTGCACCGCGAGCATTTCTGCTTGCATCAACCAACGCCGGGCAGGTGCGTGCGGCTACGAGTTCAGGTCGGCCACCCCAGACATCCTTTCAGGCGAAGAGTGGCGTTGCATTGACCTCCCAGCTTTGCTTCGAGAACAGGCAATGCGCAAAGGGTGCTGACCCCCTTTCAGCACGGGTTCGTGAAGAAAGAGACCTGGCATGTGGCCTGGCAGGTTCATGGCATACAGGGCCTGCGCTTGGAGTTCCACAGCCATTGAGCACCTGCAGAGGGATCTCACCAATGACAGCACATCTATAGTTCTTTGCATGAATCCTCATGCAAAATTGGACATGACAGAGCACGGTCATCTACGCAATCTACGCTCATGCTTTGCTAGACGCCCGCCCCCTGATCTGTGAATTGCAGACCCTCCGGAGACATCAAGTCGATCTGAGATGCCTCGAGTCCAAGGTTGGTGAGCTGGGATAGGATTTGGTCAAAGAATGGCCGTAGATCCGGCAACAAGTTGCAAAGTCACGATGCCACACAGAGGGTATCAGCTTGAGCTTGCACAACCATAACATACACATTCCTATAGGGCCACCTGTTTTATTTCCATCGACTGTGGTGTGGCTGCCAAGCGAAAAGGCATGGCTGCGAGATCAGACTGGGAGAAGCTCCGGCATGAGTGGAAGTCCATCCGGCTGCAGCACAGCAGCGTCAGATCTACCTGAAAACCCTCCTTCGAGAGAAGGCCACGGTGAAAAGGTACGTGATCAGCCCAGTCCGAACCTCTCAATTCCTTCAAAAGGCCTCCCAAAATTCCTCACCTCACCTCCACGGTGATTTCTTTGTGACGAAAAAAGAACGGCCCTCAAGACCTGTCGAGCGCCTTTTCCGCCCGCGTGTGCCTCACGTGCCAGGAGGAGCGTTCTAGGTCGCGCTCTTGGTCCCCTGAGGGCGGTGGCCTCGTAGGCCAGGCCGATTCCAAGTTCAAGGCGAACAGGGGCGCCGCCGCGCGAGAAACGCACGCGCGGGCACCGCGCCACGTCATCACTCGAGTTGTCGATCATCCTGGTTTGGATCAGGTGATGTTTGTATTGGAGTTCACAGGCTCCTGATCCACACATTCCATCGAGTCGCGGGGTTCCGGACGTAAATCGATGATTTCACCACCAAAAGATCATGATCATCATAAAACATCATACAACCAATTTATCAGTTCAGAATATTTCCATAGGAGTTCGACTGGTCGTTTGTGGTCTTCGGATTTGCTGATTCTTTCAGGGGAGGGTACCGCGCTCATGCCGGCCATGACTCTGAAAAACTTGGTTTTTGTACGGATGCCATCTTCACAGCAGGTGGTTCTGATATGGAAAGTTAAAGGTGATATGGAACACGAATCACGTGTTCTCGTTAGGTTTTTGGTTCCCGCGAAAGATCGCGAAAAGCTACACACTTCGATGTACAGTTTGCTTTTGTACCTTTTGTGCGTGTGGGCGCCACATCCTTGTTGTACAGTATTCTTCGTCCCCACGTTCTGAACACCGATTCCACTCACCCAACCCCTGGCGCCAGTTGCGGCTATCCCAAGCTCGGTGTGTCGCCTTCGACTGCACGGAGGCCATGGGTGGGCGGACCAAAGCGAGGGTCAAGACACCCTCGCCGGACCGGCCTCTGAAGCAAGTGAAGGCGCCGGATCGGGGCGGGAGTCGAGGGGCCGGCAGAGGTCGGCTAGGGCCAGGTGGCGGTCCAAAGGCGGCAGAAGTGAGGAATGGCTCGTGAGTTGGCCTGGCAAGGAGGAAACAAGTATGGTCATTGAGTTCAGTAAGTGATTGCTTTATATTTAAATCTGTCTAACTTCTAACTACCGTCAGATTGCCATCAACCGCCCAACCTCTGACTTCTTCGCACCGGGAGTCATGCCTCAGGCCATCGGCATTGGTCGGCGGAACAAGGCCGGGTGGAGTAAGTCTGGCCGGGTGGCTGTTGGGTGGTTCTCTCCCACGCGAGGCAGCCTGGTTCGATCCAGTTTGACCCAGTAATCAGTAATCAGTCAGATCCTGGTCCTTTTTCCTCATGGAGTAGAGTTTCTGCGTCAACTCCAGGAACATGAGGTCAAACTGGCCTTCTAGGGAAAAGTGGGAACAGTCTTGGGGTAAGACTTGTGGGTGAGAGGTTGAACAGATTGGTCGACGATGCAGTTACATGGTCCGATGTGGTTCGAAATCGAAGTGTGTGGTAGACGATGTGGAGGTTAGAAGTGTGTTTGTCACGGTGTATTTCGAACTGTTTAGGGGTTGATTCCGCTGCCAAGCTGCAGTGCCCCCGGCCTGGTAGGACCGGCCATTGAAGGGACTGGAGCGACAATCTCCCAAACTACCCATGGAGGAGTTCTCATCGCTCGCAATAGTGGCCCTATAAGTAGAAACACAGGGAGCTTCACTGACAGCATTGCTGACAGCTCATGTTCAGATTGGTCCCTGCAAAAGCTCCAAACCCATCTAAACCGAGAAACCAACAGAAACAACCACACAATCCTGCCATATCCTGCCTTCAAAAACTTACCAAACCCTTTGGATTTCATGGTTTTCCATCATGATTTTTCGGTTTCTTTGAACCGATCGTTCTCTTCCAAAAAGTTTGTTGCTCAAGGCCAAGCCTCCCTCAAAACAGAAACCGGACCGCAGCTTTCAGTCTGACCCCCGCTCCTTCGATGTGAGGCCGACGAGTTCACCAAGAAGGGCCCCACGAACGGAGCCGCCAAGGCGAAGCCCAAGGCTGTCGGGGCGTGGGAGCTGGGGCGGCGGAAGGCTGCCGATCCAGCCGCCGGGGGGCGGAAGGCGGTCGTCTCGCAGGTTGAGGGTTGGGAAGGTGGGATGGTTTTTTCCCTTTAGGGATCCGTTGTCGTACCGAACCGACCCGGTTCGGTGTCTCCTGGACCCGACGTTTTTGGCATGTCCGAGTGTCTCCGTCCTCACCGTAGACCTGAGGTTCGGTACGCAAACGGATCCCATAGGGTTTAGGAAGGAGCCAAGAACTACTAAGATCGGCCCACGTATCCCGGTTCGCGCTGCCGGTTCGCGCTGGTCGGACGCTCTTGTCCTTCTTGTTCCGTCCCTAGGCTTCCAACAACCATTGCTGTTTTAATGGCCTTTACCGAACCACCATTGTTTTACTAAGGATTTTACACTACGCATTTCTTTGAATGGTCTTGGAAGCCTATAGCTTCTTGCTACTAGCAGCGGAGGCCAGGAGCCCCGTTCGTAGCGTCCAATCGCTCCGTTCGTAGTAAGGCCAGGACCAGGAGTTTCGAAGGAGGAGGGAGGCTTTGGGGAATGGGTTGTTTGTCCCAGTGCTCCAGGTTTTTTCTGGTCCTAGGCGTCCTAGGGTCCTAGGGCTCCAGCCATCTAGAAGCTTGTCCAACCCCTTGGCACCCACTTCCAACAACAAACAGTATCAGTACCTGCGCCCCCTAAGGGGTGTCTAATTATAGCTCCTTAGAGGTTAAGGGATGTCCATTAACCACCCCTTAGGGGGGCCCTGGTATATGGTGATGGTTGTAGGGCGGGAACCCCTTTTAACAGTCTGATTGACCCACAAATCGAGGCTGGCAGGAGGTGTGGTTTGGACTTCAGAGGTGAGCTCGCAGGCACTTCAGAATGGGAACCCGCTAGCAATATTGAGGGGTCATCTAGATCACAATTCGGTCACATGTTTAAGCCTGCTTATTTCAATCAGTTGGTTGTTTGCAATCTATATAGTGGTCGAGGAAACCAATTAGATCCAAGAACGTTCTTGATTTGCATGAATTTGCCACGTCTCTTCACGAGGGACGTGAGATTGAGAAAGGCAACTGACCATTAGCCTCCCTCCACTCATGGCTTTGGAAAGGCCTTTGTCAGAGGAAAGTCGCTTCCCCTTTGGCAAAAGACCATCCTGTTACATCAGTAGAGGAAGCTACTCATCACCTTTGCTAGAAGTCTCAAATTAGAAGTTGTAGAATGTTAGTATGATCATGTACGATAAACACATCTTGGAACCTAGAACTCGTTCAAGTCAATCCTCCATCACCGGATGCACTGCACCTGCGAGGCCAAGGCCAAGGTTGCCATCGCCTCGGACTCCGAGGGCTCCGGCTGAGGGCGCAAAAAGTTGAGGCGGAGAAGTGCGCAACTTGGGCAGTCCTGATTGAGAAAGCTTATAAGCCAACAAAATAAACAACAGATGAAGAGGTTCTAAAATCCAAATCAAGGAGACATTAGGGGAGACACCCAAAACAATTGGCATTCAGCCAGTGGTTTTGGGATGCTTTTGGGGTCCATGTTAATCAGCAAGAGGGTTCCGCAATGTATATAAGTGCCACCGCCACAGAAGAGATACAAAGATCATCAAAGATCATTGAGCAGACCAGAACTTCCTCCACAACTTGGGAGCCTCCCGTAATCAAACTGGTTCCAAACATTGGCCTTTCCTGGCCCCCAAGTGGCCGAAGAACCTTGGACTCACCAATCACCGGCCGTGCGAAGGTGCTGCCAACTTCGACATTGAAAAGTGTGTCTTTTGTGTTCCGCAGCGTTCCACTTAAGGCCGATGCAAACAAATGAACATTAGAGGAAACAATCCTCCAACCTCACTCATGGGCGATCTGGAGACTGGACGGAGTAGTTTGAGGACCTCCAGCCTGTGTACTGAAACAGGATGTGTTCGGTTGGAGGAGTTCCATATTTTGGAACGGGTGGCAACAGATGTGTACTGCACTTCGGCCGAACACAGCCTGTTTCAGTACACAGGTTTTGCCACCCGTGCACGTTTCTTCATGTCGATCGCTGCCCGTCGGTGAGGAGAGTGGACACCACTGGTGGCTTCTCCGTGGACCTGATGAGAGTTCCAAATCCACCGGCATGAGGGATGGTGCGATCTACCCACATGGAATCTGAATACCACGCCCGGTTTGGTATTCGGTAAATGGTCTTCCAGTCTGGGTCGAAGTTCCATTGGTCCAGTCCTCACGTTCTTTTTCTTCTGAAGCCACTCCTAAGTGGTGGATTTGGGGTCGCCCCCCTTCGCTCAGGCCTTCGCCCTCCGTCGAGCGTCAGGTCGGGTCGGATGAGGAAAAGAGTGGGGTCTGAAAAGCCCTGAGGCGTCAATCCAAGCAGGTGTCAGATGGATTTTGGGGGTCTCGATCCACAGGTGAAACACCAGCTGAGATACTGCAGCCATCCAAAAAAAGCCAAGCCGTGTTCATGCTTTTTGGTTCCTGGTGCATTGGAGGGTGACCACCTGGATGTTGACATGAGTGCCCCTTCTATCGAGTTGACTCTGGGCGAACTCAGGCCAGAGCCAAAGCCTAGGGGGGTCCTTGGTGTCGGGTGTAGTACAGGTCGCAAAAACGGCGTGGTTTCCCAGGTTGAAGATGACGACGAACAACACTCGAGTTCGTCACACATCACATGGTCTTTGTGATCATGGCATGGGTCCCTCCAAATCGACGACGACTCCTCTACCGAACTTCACTGGGCGAACTCCACGTAACCATGTGAAGCTGTGAAGAGTGTAATTAAGACTTGTTGATGTTCTTTTGCCCATACACTCCATGTATGGCATATATACCTCCATGATTCCTTACCCACATGTACTGCTTGTTGACACAGAATTCTCCAGGCGTGGTCCAGAATTCTCTTCACATCGATCGCTTGGATTCGACTCCGCAGGGAGATGAGACGCGTGGGAGGCACGGAGCACCGCGGCGTTTTTCCACGGAGCACCGCGGCGTTGCGACCTGTTTTGCATGGCGAACAAATTCTGGGATCCGAGTGGAACGAGGCGAGACCAGCACAGCGATCTGCAAGGTTCAGATGTTTTCAGTGGGAGTCGAACGTGTCTAACCTGACTGGAGAGTCGAGACCTGGACACCAGATGATGGAGATGATATCATGGGCCATGGATAGGTCACCAGTCTTGAGAATATACGTGAAGCTTTCCAAAGCAGAATGCATCCAGTTCAGATTGGTGCATGCTGCATGAGTATTTCTGTAAGAAACGCTGGAGCATTTGGTTGTTTTGCAACTTGGCTCGGCCATGTTCCTCTCGTGGTTTTCGCCTATTACATTATTACATCCATCACGTGTCCATTGACAGCAGGCATAGCAGTGAGGCAACTCCATTGGTGATTTAGACTCATCATAGTAACGCCATCATTCATACTGGAACGTCGCAGTGGGTTGGGTTCCTTTTTTGCAATGCATTTGCATGCATTTGCTCCGTAGATTGACAGTTGTTTGCAATTCGCTGTTATATATGCATTAATATATAGCTATTATATCGTCAATTGTTAAGGAGGCCGCTAAACATCATTGAGAGCCATGTTTTCAGCGGAGCATTCCCTCTCAGAAGAATTACAGCGGTCACAGACTACACCGTGCTCGATGGGTCCACACCCTTATGCATGCGGATGACATACCGCTTGATCTGAAGAGCTGGTGAACATCACTGTATATTTTACCACACCGCGCCGCGCACAAAGAAAGGTATGGAATACCTACACTGACCCCTGTTCAACCACCATCGTGTGTGTGTGTGTTTAGGTATGTGAATGGTTTGCCAGGGATTGCGCGGGCAATTCCAAAGGTGTTCTTCCAGTGTCCTGTTGGAAGAGACCACCTGAAACCCACCCTGCTTGGAGGCGGTGCGCCCCACCCTCACGCAGGGGTCACTCAGGATGGGGGGACATGAGGACGGCTGTCGAAAGAGCACATGGTGGGCGGTGTGAAAGTGTAAATGCCGGAATGTGGCCGAAAGTGCTTCCAATGAACTCGGGTCCCGTTGGTGGATTGTTCCCTTCTCACGGATTCTTTGAGCGTGGTCTAGTGAGAATTCCGAATTCATGTGTGAGGGTGTAGTTTACTGGATCGTTTTCGGAATACTCTTGATTTCTTGAAGGGCTGGCATGATTGCGAGTCGTGTGAAGTAGGATGAAGTAGATATTTCATGGATCTTGGCACTTTACCTTATGAATGCTTACCTCTCTCCCGAGAGAGGTTCTTGAGACCCTATAGAACGCCGTAAATGGTATATACGGGATGGGATATAGAGCTGTTCAACCTCTCTTGGTTGCCTCGCTCCTGCTCCTTCCAAGGCTCTGCTTCCCGGGGCTCCGAGTCTGAGCTCGGAAACTTGGCGTCCGCCACCCAGCCGGGCCCGCGCTCCGCGGCGATAGAAGCGCCACGCGGAGGGGTTTTGGGGGCGGGGGTTTGGGTGGGTCGACTAGGGTCGAAGGACATGTTGGGGGAAAGATTCTGGGACAAATTGTTGCTCTTGTGCGGATGTAGCCAGAACTGAAGCGATGGATGGCGCGCCTTCAACTCAGACTTTGCAAGTGCAAAACGTGTCGTGGGAAGGCGGTGAGTTTCAACGATGGCGATGAGGTGGGACGGTCCAAAACAAGCAGACAAAATCTAACAAGGGGCCCGGGTGGTTCCAGGTGAATGCTTCCCTCCTCAGCAGGCAGAGTTCCAGCCACCGCATTAAAAGCCAGCAGACAAAAGGGTACCCGAAGTGGCAGGTGTGCCCCCTTTGGGGGGATTGGTTTGATGGTGCAGGCAGAGAAATAAGCACCCCAAAATGGAGAAAACATATCCAGAGATAGACTATAGATACGATATAGATCTATTCTATATAGTGTTCTGTCCGCGTGGGGTGCTTCAGCATGTTTCATCTACAATGTCGCATCTATGCCGCACGGCACGTTTCCACCTGCTCAGGACGGTGCTCAGCTACAAACCGGACATGGGAGCGGCCCGGCGACCAGGTGCGAAGCCGGCGGTGGAAGGAAGGAGGTCCAAACACACGGAACACAGGAACTTGAGATTACATGGTCTTACAACAGTCACAGAACCAACTAAACATGTCATTCTGCCATATCCCCTTGGAGGGGCAACATGTGGTGCCTTGGCCTTAGCATTGTCGGCCTCCATGGATTTTGCAACTGCGGGTGGTCCCTTTGGACCTGCGGTGGTTGGGAACACGAGCGGTTTAAGACCATTCAGACGGGTCAAGTGCGGTGTGACCTGTGGGCTGCGGCATGGGCTGGTCCAAAGTTTAGGAGTTACTGTAAATGTAAACCATCCCATTTTTGACCTCAAGTGGTCGCCCATCTAAAAATATTGGCAAACTGGTGGATGAAAGAGGCTGAATGTTGTGAAGTTGTTTCGGTGCTGATTTATGGAAGCCTTCTACCAAGTGTATAAAACTTTGATGAATCCAAGGATGGCCGAGCGGCCATGCTGGATCTTTTTTGCTGGGCGTCAAACCGGGGGTTCCGAGACTTCCAAGTCTGTTGTGAAGAGAAGCAACCAGTGAACAGCCAAGGTAAAACCATCCTGGTTCGGATCAATGAATCAGCACAACTGTGCCTCCCAAAATGAGGTGGTCGACGTAGGAGGGGTTTGATTCAGAATGCTTGATACGAAGGCACGGAGCAGGTTTGTGATTCAGGGTGATCGTGACCTGTTTGGTATTGGAGTGCACATGGACCAGGTCCAAACAAGAACGGGTCCAAAAACAACTATACAGGTCAGAATTGGGGATCGGTCTCAAACCGGTGATCCGGAATCATCAAGATTGTGGCGTCGGGGAAGGGGTTTGGAGCTACAGCAGGTTGATGGAACTCGAGTTCCCTTGAGGTTGCAAAAAAATCGGTTGCCGATCAAGAATGAGTCAACTGACATGACCCTAGCTCCTAGTCTGGTTGTATTGCAGCTCCGCTCCAGAATCCACCCCGCCCCCCCAGAAAGCTGAGCATCTCAGCTAATTCGCCAGGCAAAAAAGCAAGACTCTTCACTCCCCAGGAACTTCAAGTAGCGCTAGGCCGCTAGAGTCGCTAGAGCTCACCAAACCTGTGGCAATGAAGTAGAGGATATATCAGAGGGCAAAATAGATCACACCAGACGCCAGATCCTTCCAGACCAGGATCCACACGAGAACGACCACGAACCATGAAAGACGATGAAACACCTGGCTGGGTCCGACAGAAACCATATCTTGACAGCCAGGCTTTGACCAAACCCTCCCCCACTACATCCCACCTTGCCCCATCAGCCGCTTGCTCTCCTCTCGCTTTCGCCATCTTTCGCCCATTTTGGAGCTGCTCCTCCCGGGCTCATCAGCGCGAGACCCGCGAGACCCACCGCCCAACCGCCCCCGGTCGACCCGTCTCCCCGACCCGCGAGACGCGCCGCAGCGGTCGGGTCCACTCGATCTGCGTCCGGGGTCCTCCGCGGGCGGCCCATGTTCTCGCGGCTCGGAGCCTTCTTCTTTGGTGTCAATCGCATCGCGAGGCACGTGGTTTTTTTCTTTTCTTCGGGGTAAGCAAGACGCACGCGTTGGGTTCGCACGCGGAAGTTTTATGGTTGAGTTTCAATGGTGCGCATCGCATCTTAAAAGAGCTGATTTGGAGTATGATTTTACGGACCTCACCATCCATCGAGTGCGTCTTAGCCGGTGTAAAGATGTGTAAAGAGCGATTTGTTGGGTGTTCGATCATCGCTGGAACTCGGCGTTGTTCCATCCTCGCTCGTCTCCCGACTGGTGGATGGTCTCGACGTGAATGCATGGAGGCTCCGACGGAGGATGGGGCGCAAGCGGGATGAGGAGGAGATGACCATGTGGCCGGTGCAGATCGGCAACGAGGAGGCACGGCACGAAGAGGTGGTGAGTTCGATGGAGGTAGGGGCGCTGGCGAAGGTGGATCATGTGCCCTATAGGGCCTTAAGGGCTCCAGTGGTGCATTCTGAGAAGGTGGGACTGGGGTGGGTTCTGACGAGCTGGAGCCCTAGGGGTTTAAGATGGTTTAAGCACTATAGGGGTTGGACTGCAGACCGTGGCACTTGGTATACTTGGTGTGCTTGACCCATATAGTGAGTTAGCCGATCCCGAATGATGGAACCAGACCAGACCCACCGCACACACCTTCTTCCCCGATCCAGCACGAGCAGACATGAGCACAGGGTCACATCCACAACTCACACAACATCTAGCTCACAGATGCTCACAGCATTTCAGACACAGATCTATCAATTCCCTAGAAGTCGAACCACCATTGTTTTAATATAGCCTTTACCAAACAACCATTGTTTCACGAGATCAACCATTTAAAAAATGGTCTTTGACTTCCATTGAAATCCATTGAACTCCATTTGGCCCGAAACACTGCCTCCGCTTCCCGGACTCTCCAGAGACCAAGGGGGGTCTCCTCGTCTCATCGTCCGCCCAGGACATCGAGAAGGGCTTCTTGAAGTCCGAGTCCATCGAGCCCAGCCGAAGCGTCTTAGGCGCGGAGAGGAAGAGAGGAAGAACCGAACCACCCGGAAAGGTGAGAAAGGGCTCCAGGAAATCATGTCGTGCAAGTAAAATCGGGGGAGAACTGTACCTGGAACTGTGAGAGAGATCTATACCTGGATCAGCCTGGATCGAATTATTAGAGTCTCTTGGGAGTGTGTTGGGAGTCCCGTGATGGGAGTCCCGTGAGGTGCTGAGGTTGTGCGTAGGATGCCAATCAACCAGAAGAACACCTTGCGAAAGGCAAGCTGACTCATCCACCTGGACAGTTCAGAGGCTTGGGATATTGTGGGTTGGTTTGATCGATCCTCGTATTCTAGGATTAGTCAGGCTACAGAAATCCCCAGGTATCGAAATATATGTCCTGTTCGGGATCCAGTCGTACGTTCTTAGGTACGGTGATTGGAGACACTCTTATACCTAGAGACTCCAAATGCACCAAAATTTCTGCCACCTCAGCAAAAAGCGCCTTTACCCGTAATTTGCCTTGAAAAAGGGCATTCGGTGTAATTTGCTAAAACCAAGATAGACTCGGCGTTTTTGGTTTTTGAGGTTCTTGAACATATTGATTGGTTGATTAGATGCAGAACCAATCCGGGTTGTGGTGATTCATGATAACTCGGCTCGACAATCCTCTAGGGATCAAATACCTGGTGAACCGGGCATTCTTGAGGTGCGCCCTGGCTGTTCACGCCCAGTGTTTTTCTTCAGTAGCTCCTACCTCTTGCCAAGCATTGTTGGCTTAGGGATTCATTGTAAACACTCAAATCCAGCCATGGATCCGATCAAGGAAACCGTTTATTAAACTTATAGAAATAGAGAAGGCCTGGCAGAAATGCCAAATGGTTTCTGTGGCCCGAGGCAACCCTCTTCCCTGATTTCCTATTAATTATTGCAGTGGCACAAAGCTGTTGTTGAACATATTCGGTGAATGGAAAGATTTGATTCCATCACCAAGGTGAAAGTTAGTGGACTGTGCATGGACCATGCATAATTCAACATAAACTCACCGTGAACCAATCGGGCACCCTTGCGTGAAATCGTGGCAGTCAAGTTGTTCACAGTTTTCCAAAGTTTTGTCATCCCTAGATCTCGGCGTAATTGCCCGATAATTCGGCGTAAATCTCCGATAATTCGGCGTAATTGCCCGACAATTCGCGCAATTGTCCGTAACCATGTTTTTGCTTAGTCGGGGTTTCCTATATAAGAATCAACATCTTGGATGGCTGCACTGGAAAGAACATTGTTACAATAGTTGCAGCTGTTCTACAGCCACCCTTGTCAAGGGAGGTTGGATCATGAAAGGGCGAAGCGGCAAAGCATTCTTTGGAGAGTGATCCGGAGAAGCAAAGACAGAACTTTGCTTGCCTGGATTGGCCTTTCAAGAAAGCCCTAGGGGAAATATCAAGAAGGTCCGGAAGACAAGGCAAGCACTTAGGCAAACATTGTTGGATCTTTCAAGTGTGTTCTCTGTAAGCACTCCCAAACTGTGGATTAACTATCTCTGTCCCCAGGTGCAAGGATTCCAAGGTATCCAAACTGTGGATGCCAATCCCTCGGTCCTCATATGTAAGCCCAAACTGTGGATGGTCACCCTGTGGTTTGTTTTGGGAAAGGGGCGGGGAAGGGCTTGGTAAGACTGGCAAGATCTGGCAAGTGCTGGTTTGAGAATCTAGCAAATGAAAACCATTAAAGTCGGCAGTTTTCATATTGCTCGGCGTTATTTTTTGGATTCGGCGCTTTTCGATGAATTTGGCTGAAATCAGGGCACAATGGTGCCTCGGCAAAAATTTTTGCCAACGGTTCCTCGAGGTATAGGTGCCGGGTTCGGGTCCAGGAGACACCGAACCTGAAAAGGTACTTACGACTGGATCCCAAACGGGTTAGGGATCCAGTCATACGTTCTTTGAAGGTATGTCGATCCGGGATCGATTGGAGAACTCCCTGATTCTCAACTTGTAAGTGCGTGACTTGCACGCGAGTCCTCCCTGTCCCAAATGGACACTCCCGAAAACCGCACCTGGTTCGAAGGGCACCTGGATAGATCCGGAAAAGACTGTTTTCCATTGGTTTTCCCCTGCAAAAACAGGTGGTTTTCCGGGTCCCATGTGGTCCTCTTCAGCGGGGTGACAGGTGATCGCTTCACTGATCTTCGTAGGAGGCAGGGTCCATGTGAGCTTTCAGTGGGCTACACGCGGGAAGCTTAACATGAAAGCTGAAAGCCACGGACGGTTTGTAGAAGAACATCAATTTTCAGGTTCTTCAGGTTCCATGTGAAACAAAACTCCTGCCTAGCACTTCCAATGGGTGCCCAATGGAAGCCTAGCCTATAAGTAGGGTAGGGTAGTCTAATATTGGACACCCATTGGATGGTCCAGGTGGCTTTCCATCAATCTTTGGGTGATCCCTCTTTGTCACCGATCGCGTCGCTCGCGCAGCTCACGCGTGTCAGGGGCCGCTGCGATGCTCGCGCGGATGTTCTATCGGGACGCCTCGTTGGGCCGACGTGCGGTGGTGCTGAGCATTTCAGTGTGCCTGGGACGGATGCCCAGTTCGGACTGGACATGGGGCGGGGTGACGGGGTGGGGAAAGGCTTGGGTTTGGCTGGACACGGAGGGTGTAGATGCTGACCCTAGAGGCATCAAGACAAACAAATACTTGGTTGCATTTTTGTGTTGCCGCACAAAAGCTTTTTCTTCTAGTTTATTTTGTGTGAACACCTTCTTGGAGGATTGATGACCCTATGGGCAGGTTGGCAGTGATGTTCACATTGGCTGACAGGCTGACAGGGATGATTGTAGAATGACACATCTCTTCACAAGACCATGCCTCAGCCCCAGCCATGTCTTCTTTGGTGCCTTTATGCCCATCCCCCAGGAAGCAACACAAGCAACGGTGCATCATGAGCCTAGCTCGGGCAGCCCGTGTTGAACCCGCTCATGGCCGGTTTGCAACTTCAGCATCACAGTTCACATGATCAACCTGGACTCTGGCCGTAGCACTGGGTCATGACACGCGGGTCGCCTTCAAATCCTGGTAGGTGGATGTAGGTGGACCATATATGCATGCAAGTCTATTCTGTTCGTTGGCACAGTGGGGTGTACCCGCCGGGTAGCCGGGTGTCACTCACAACTGGGTAGCGGCTTCATGCTCCAAGGTTTGCTTTGCTGTTGCTGGAGATCGGCGCGGTGCTCTACTATAGCGGCGTGCAGAAGAACTACATGACGGCCTGACGGGGGTGCTGGTCGTCCGATGACGTATGACATGCCTTAGGCGCCTGCTTCTTGGCCACTTGCATGTGTATCGCCTAATGCACCTGAAAACTACCGTGTGTAGCCATGTGTAGTCTCCAAACTGGATGTTGTACACCCGAGCTGTAGTGCTTGTGTAATCACTGGGCTGGTTCTATTATTCCTATCGGGCTAAAGTGGCGAAGGATGGGACTGGGGATCGGCTGGATCCCAACGAACCTAAATTCCCGCAATCAAATTCAACCTCAAGCAACATGGCATCACATCCTCCTGGGGCCCCTCCTTCACGTCGCAGAAGCGCCATCGAGCATGTTCTGTTTATGGCATAGACTTTCTGAGAGGTGTTGCATCTGAGCCGCAGTCAATATAAATGAAACCAGTTCATGCTTCGGACTATAAGATCAAATTAAAGGTAGGGTGCTTACCTTGGCCTTGAGCTTACCATCGTTCGGTAGTGCAAGGCATTGCAAGACTATATAGGACATACCATGGCAGCATATGGTCTACTTAATTTTTGCCCCGTTGTGCCCGGCGTCGGTAGTTTTGACCGAGCAATCTGTGAGAGGCACTGCAGGAGAAGAACGTCGAAGCTTTCTATCATGGTCTTTGGATGGTGGCTGCGGTGTGCCGTGGCTGGTGAAGGCAAGTCTTGGTGAGTTAGTCTGATCTCCTGCGTACCTTTCCTGTCCATTGTGGCTGGTTAGTTTGGTGAATGTGGGTGAGAAAGGCGAAAAAGGAAACACACGGTGACGTCGTAGAGGCTTTACAAGGGTTCACATTTGTGTTACACTCCCTGGAACCAACGTGGAAGTGGATGCCATGGCCCCAAGGCGCACTGCGCCACGTGTTGTCGCTCTACTTACCCCCTTGGTATGACACCGTTCTTTTTTCAACGTCCATGCTATTTCCAGGGAGAGTAGTGCATTTCAGTACTTTCGCATCGTCGCCGGAAGATAAGGGAAGCAGAAGTGGAAAGCAAATTCCAAGCCCATCCAAGTCTCATGGGGAAGTATGTGCAGTGTCAAAGCCGTGTGTAAAGTATCCCCTTGCGAATTTCCTTTAGAACATGCTGGGCACCGGGTGTCAAACACATGCATGTGATATCATTTTATACAGAAAACCGGCCTTGGAAAATACAGCTGGTGCAGAAAACTTTTTGGTTGATCTATGTCTAGGAGTCTGGGGGTGTTCCAGTGCCCAGGCAAGGAACTATAGAGTCATCGGCAGTTTCGAAGCTGCAGTGCCACCGCTCAAGCACCGCTTAGGAGAAAAAAAATACGCAAAAATCAAAAGAAAGACTGCGGACGGCTCAGGATCGTGTTCATCAGCCCCATCATCGCCTTGCATGAGTATACCTCAGGCCTGGCTCCCAGTGACTGCAGTATATATCCGTTTGCATCCAGAATCGCAGAGTTGGACGTCCCGGTGATGACCAGAAAAATAGGTGACCGGAGGAGTTCGAGTGAACACAGAGTTGTTGTGATCGCATGTGTTCAGAATCCCAAGCGCGTTGGTTCGTCTTGGGGTTGTTTCGGTCAGTGCCACCCTCTTGCCACCGACCCAGTTCCTTCGCCATCGATGTTCCGCATTCAGCAACTGAAGAGACACGTCCCTGTTTTCCTACAACATCAGATGTGAAGAGATGTCAGTAACTGTAACTAGTGAGAAGAACACGTCCTGCATGTTCAACCTACCCAGGTATTCTCCTGCTATTCTCCAGCAAAAACAGAGGGAGTTAAGAAATCAGCCCGGAACTGGGGACGAGATGGGACAAGACTTCATCAGGGAAGTCTATATTTCAACGGAGCGGTCTTCAAGGCTATGCGCTAAGCATCACTACCTACCCAGGAAAAGTGTATCCAGGGAAACGGAGGAGTCAGACTAAGTACTATCACAGATGCTCGAACTGGGACAATCACTGCTAGACAAAAATGTCAATGATGCGTCCCAAGTCCCAAGTCCAATTCCTGTCACATGGCTGGAACTGGAACCAAAACGAACTGGAAGAAAATGATAGAGACACCTCGCCATCATCTTCAGGCTTGCTGAAGGTGACCTTTAGAGAATCCTTAACCCGACGCTTCTGTGGCATCTACTTGGCGGCGCCCGGTTACGCCGAAGGCGCGCCCTTCTACAGGTGCCCTGGCACGGAGAGTGGTTGACGAAGCCACCCGGAAGTGACGTGGTCGTCCAGGTCAGAGGAGTGTTTGAGTATGATGAAATTCTATTGAAATATAGGTAAAGGGGGCGGCGAAATCATGGAAATTGAATTTCTTGAAAGGGGGGGGCTGACCTTCGCCCCAACTAAGGCATCCACCCCCCATCGAAGACCCATGCAAAACACGGGATTTGGGACAGTGCTTTTTGAATTAGAGAGGGGCTATATAAACGAATGTGGCTACAAATGGTTGGGAGCCACATACCATTGCTTGCCATTGCTGTTTTCTTCTGTTGAAATGAGTTTAAGTGTTCTTTCCTGGCATCAGGGCAGTGGCTCGAATCGATGCCTTGGTGACCAATAAGATGCAGTTGAATCTCTTCAGTCTGTGGCTTCGTTGGGCATTGAACAGTATTCCCCGATCGCATGTTATATTGGGTCCTTTTTGAAAGTCCGATGTGGTGACTGAAATCGGGGACGTTGGGCTAGATCCATCGGTTTTGCATGCTCAAGGTTGTTAGTTTTGGAAGTTTGGTTAGTATTTGGTTTTCACACACAGCTCTCGCATGCTCAAAGTTTCCTGACAATCCTGACAGGTTTGCCGCCTTTGACTCTTGAGCGTGGCAGTTCACAAAGAATGCACCCGCTACTGTAATTGGTTAAATCATTAACCAAACACCCCATGGATTGCAGATTGCACATGTACCTACATTGGGCTTGGTTGTCGGGAGCCAATGGGGGTGGCCAATCTTTCAGTTTGGAGTCCTTGGGTTAGACCGGTTAGACCATTGCTTTCACGTTTAGACAGTCCAAGGGACTGAGCGGTCAAAGCGGCGAGTCATACCGCTAGGGCTCCAGTGGTACCTCCTCAGGTTCGCGATGACTGGACCCGAACATGGCACCCGGGCACCCGGGCCCCCCACCGAAACGAAGGTACGGCTGGAGCCCAAACAGGATATGAAAGTCGACAGGTCGTGGTTGGATGTGCATCTCTGATGTGCAGGTTAACGATCACCGGAGAGATTGATAACCCTGACCAGCGAATTTGCCAGGCGAAAACGGCGGTGCAGGGGTGAAGATGGGCGGGGCAACACTTATTTGGATGACCTCGGAGTGTCGATGAGGAACAGGTTATATGATGTGGAGCCAAAATATGCCCTGGACAAAAACAAAAAGGTGCGAATGAGATGACCATGGATGGTTTTGTGAGGATAATATGGCCATAGGGTGGTCCATATATAGATGAGGAACATACAGGAAGATAACATGAATGCCACGCAGATTGCCATAGGTGACTTGCGAATCATTCTTATGTTTGTGTTCTTGTTTGACTCCAGCAATTGCTGATTACACTGCGAAGATATCTCCCACACAGCTCCTTCCTCGATGAAAGTTGTTTTTGTACAAAAAGACTTTACCCAAATACAACCTCAACGGATGTCTCACTACGGGCAAAGGAACCCTAAACCCTAAACCCTGCCAACGAAGACGCTTTGAGACATTGTGGTTTTGCGAATCTTAGTCCTGGTTTTGCGGAAGGTGATCTTTAAAACATCCCTATGGTTAAATTCCCTTTCTGACGAATAACACTCTTTCAAGGCTGGACAGCTCCAAGTCATGCATCCATGAATGACGATGGCTCCACAGTCGGCCAGTCCCTGCGATCACGCGCTGGAAGACCTGAAAAGGTTGGTCCTGTCAGCACTTGTCAGGCTGTTTCTCAATGGCCTTTGATTTGTGAATTTGAACACCCCCGTCCTCGTTCTTACATGCCCTAGGGCCCTAGGGCCCGGCTCCAGTCGTACCTCCGAAGGTATGACTGGGGCCTCCGAACCCACCGCAGTCCCACCTTCTCAGAAGGTATGACTGGAGCCCTAGGGATACTATAACTATTGGCAGGACTGGATTGATTTGGTATTTTCACATGATCAAGATTCCGACATTGCCATGTGTTTGAAAGGAATGTACATGGGGAGCCAAATTCTAATTTCTGCATGGACAGCCCAAAAGCTTGAACTCGTGCTACATGTCGCGCGGGCATTCTTTTGTCACTTCGCCGTTTTCGTGCCCAGTTGTTACCCCCCACCCCAGGAAACACAAAAACACACGCCTCACATCCGGCTGCCCAGAAAACGATCGACAGGACAGGACCCCCCTCACATCGCTTGACGGACTGAGCTCCGTCCCGGGTCAGGACGTGTCCGATTTCGTGGGCATCGCCGTCCATTTGGTGCAAGATGTTGTGAGGACCGACGAGAATCGATCGGCGGAATCCGGAGTCGGGAGGTTTGGGACCAGCAGTGCGACTCGGTTGTAGAAGAGCCATAGGTAGCATAGGTAGCATAGGATCTAAGATGTATTATAGGCCTAGTAGGGAGATTGACATGTTTGGCGTGAGGTTTTTCTGAGGGTTTTAGCGGTTTTGACAGCCAGCTTTGGGGATATCATCCCGGGAGAAAAATGTCATGTTTTTTTGCAGAGGTTCTTGTTCTCCAAGTTGTTCACTCTAGACCGACCTTACAAATGCATTCTCACTTGAGGAAGCATCCATCTAGAAAACGGGGTCCTGGTAAGTACCGGATGGGACCAAAGAAATCAACTCGAACTTCCGTGGGCTATTTGCTCATGTTACAGGGCGATTTGGTACCTGTTTTCAGGTACGCAAAGATGAATATATAGCGAGTTGAGAGTAGATGGCGCAATCCCCAAAAGGTGTTTTATATGGGGGTCCATATAAAACACCTTTTTGGGATTGCGCCATCTACTCTCAATGCACTGTATCTTGTAGGAGATCACCGACCCCGGGCGGTGTACGAAAACCGCCTCCGCATCCGGTCAGACGATCGGGTCATCTCCGTGTGGTCGACCAGAGGACCTTCTTGAACATCTTCGGCTTCGCCACGGTCTTGTATTCGATCTCCCCAGCCGCCTGTGCCTTGGACGGCAGGGGCTGGGGGTCATCACGGGCGCATTGCACTTCGGCTGAGGATCACAGGTTTGGTGAAGCAAAACAGGTTTGGTTGCATTCTCATTGGTAGCATAATTGATATACAGTAACAATATATTGGTGGAATTGTTTGTGCTGCATGTTTTTGCTAACAAAAAGCCACTCCAAAACTATACTATTTGATGCTTGACTCTTCACTACAAGCAACTACCCATTGACCATTGACTCACATGGAAGCGCAAAACGATCCACCTTCCGTGTTAGTCGGACGGAGTGTCCATTTTCCATGTTCGTTCTTCAAAGACATATCTCTTACTGGTGTGGAGTAAGCGAACGGTTACACCAGCAGCATGCTCAACTTTGACCATATTTGGCTTTATGAAGCCGCTGAGAACCCTAGTTTCGTGGCTCAATGCGCTGAGAAACATCACTATTTTCGTGCCTAGTTTCGTGCCCGAAGGTTCAAGGCTTCTGAAGAGGCTTTTCCTATTCAACCGCAGGTCCACCAGCACCTTGGATCCCAGGCTTTGGCGTGTTGATCTACTCCGTCACCGGCACGTTGATCGCCACCAGAGGCCCGGCGGTCGGATGCGGCGCCGGCGCCGTCAGCGGCGTGGCGCAGGGGTGCGAAATTCAAACACATCACATGCAAGTGGATGGCATGGTGCATTAGATGAAAGACTCTTCTGCTCTAGAAACAGGTGGTTGAAAGAGGTCGAAAGCACGTCGAAAGCACTTCCATGGTAGTTTCGTCAAAGGGTAGAAAGCACTTGCCAACCACAGCAGGAGCAGGAGCATCACAGCTCAGCATCGGCATCACCACATCTTAAGGGTCCGCGCTTTGGCTCATCCCATGCTCATGGCGTTTTGCTTGCAGGGAAGTAGCGGTCCATGCCTCTCCGCCCTTTGCCCTGGACCGCCCCACATGCTCCGATCAACAGACCATACTTTGTGTCACTGTCACAGTGAATACTGTCAGAACCCACCATGAATGATCTTCCACACATGAAGCATATCAAGCTGCTTGACTAACAAGGCGATTGCACGGCGGCCGCTTTTCTTGTTTTCGCATGCAATTGCCAAATGTGGAGTATTCAACTCCCCACCTAAAGATGGGTCAGCAGGAATTCAGGTCACATATATTCTATGCCCTCCCACCGTCTCCCATCCGTCTCTCATGCCCCAACCTTCAGTACAGTGAATGATGTAAAGAACCTTGAAAGAATCATTCACTATACTATACTGAAGGAATGTAATGTAAGTACTAAAAGAATGATTCCTTACCTTGTGAATCATTCCTGTATGAAAGAAGATGCTGGGAGCCCTTGAAATCGGTGGAAATGAACTCCTCCAGGTTTTGGACCTTGGATCGGCTTCTATCAGCTGCAGCGAGTCAAGCAGGAAGCCAACCTGCGCCGCTTGACCTTGCCAGTCGGGCCTCGGTTGTGGGGCCGGTCGGGCTTGAGTAGACCAGAAGTATCGAGTGGATAGGGCGTGGGAAGTGTTGATACAGCTCATAGATGTGCCCCATATCACAGATATTCACAGATACTATTTATATAGGTTTGGTGTGTTCAATCACTTCATCACACGTTCATGGCTTTTGGGCTGTTGCCATGGTTAGGGGTTTGGGCTGGTGGGCCTTCACTTCACGCCTCAGGCTATGACCTGATTCGCGTTCGCGAGAATGCGGAGTCGGTGGCCTTCTTCGAGGGCGGTACTGCTGAGTGGTCCAAGTTTAGCACGCTCTTCAACGACTTGCTGCCACTTGACTGTAGCCAGTCAGTAGCTACCAGTAGCCCTCAAATCCATGACACATTTTTGGGTTTTCACATTACAAACGCAATGTTGTTTTTTTTTGCTAGGGAAACCCATGTTTTTTAATGGTTTGTGGGGCTTGGAGGTGCTGCTTGGCCTTTGTGAATTCTACTTGGGGGGGTGAAACCTCGAAACCAATGGAGGGAGATTGGTAGAGAGCAACCATCTGCGGAGCAGCTGGGTCCTGTGAACAATGACCTGTGCCCAGGCAAAATTTGCCATTCTAACTATAAGAGCACGTCGCCTAAGGTCCGTTGCACATTGGAGATGTAGGTCCAGGAAGCTGAAAATCCCTATAGCTTGGTTTCCTGGCCCACCACGGAATTTCATGGCTTCCAATCCCGAACCACCATGGTTTTATTAAGGGTTTTTCAATACAAAACCAGGTCAATCATTGGAAGGCTATGGGGTCATATGAGTCATATTTTTTAAATTTTATATAGCGCCCCATGATGAAGATGCCTGGAGCAGCCTCCAGGTGGATCCCGGTTCTAACCCTACCGTTTCACGCCCGGCACCCCAGCCCAGCCCAGCCGGGCCCAGGGTCCTCGCGTCGTCCTCGCGTCGTTTGAGGACCACGGTGTACCGAAGCGTCGTGGTCGCCTCGGGCTTCGGGATGTTCAATCGGTCCTTCCACTGGGCCGCTCGGATCCTAGCTAGCGCGCGCTCGTGACCGGAACGGGTGGTGACGGAACGGACGGAACAGGGTGGAACGGTCGATCGATGTGTGTCCTCCTGTGTTGTCCTGGTACCTGGTGAGGATCGTCTTGGAGATGAGTGAGGTGTCATATACTTCCTGAGTCCTGGAGGGACGTTTTTTCAGGAGACTCGACCCTTAGGATGTTCATTTCACGTGTTTTTTTTCCCGTTTCAGGGGCGCTCGCGCTGACGCGCGAAACCCAGCGCTGACGTCGCTGGACTCTTTTTGGGAGGACCGACAAGTGATGGAAGACATCCTTAAAGCTCATCCAGTGTGTTCCTCCACTTCTTCCGCTTCCATCTCGCCAGCTCGCCCCTCCGAAAAATCCAACTCCACCTCGTCAACCTAGCCATGACGCCATGAGTTCGACCCCCCTCCTCAGATTGATTTCAGGCCACCTTTGCCATTCCGGCGCTGCTGGTGGGACCAGCCTACTTGAGGGGGGAGGTGCAGTTCGGTGTGATCTCGCAGGTGCGGGGGACTGAGCAGGGAGGGGTGATTGATCATTTTTGATGGCCACTTTCAGCCACACGTGGAGCTTTGAAGAGACTCAAGAATACCGTGTTGGATGGCTTAAGCCATTGAAGGTGCGGTACTCTGAAGGCATTTCAGACCTTTTGTGTTTTCTTTAAACAGGCCAGCATGGCTTTCAACATCATCCTCGGTGCTCTGACGCTCATCATGGACAAGCTTGAATCCCTGACGGACGTGGCCGTGCGCATTCGCCGTCCCTTGGTGGCCGGTTAGGAGATGGGCACCAGTTTGATCGCCAGATCATGGCTTCACCTTCTTAGAACAGTACCCTAGGGCTCCAAGTACCTCCTCAGAAGGTGTTTGGGGTGGGTTTAAAGGGTCCAAACACCTTTGAGGAGTTACTTGGAGCCCTAGGGGTTATAAGTTATATCTATAATATTGATCTTAGCTAGTATTATATAATCTCTTTTGTTAAGTTTGTTTTCTTCTATCAAGGGGAGTCCCCCCCAAGAGTGAAGGCCACAGCCAGCCCAGAAGCTCCTGCTCCAATGCAATAACCCTCGGGAATTGAGCCGGTCGAGTCTGGGCGGGGTGTGGAGAAAAACGAAAAAATACCCATGAAAACACCCATGAAAACCAATGCAATTGAGACCTTTGCATACATCCGAGCACCAATGATTTAACCACCTCCTTTTGGGTCTCCGGGTTTCATGGTCATCCTTGGTCACCCGAAGTCGGGGCCATGGAGAAATTCCGGAGGCGATTTGACCATTCAGCAGTGGAGCGACCAAGCCCCACTATAGGGCTATAGGCTGATAGATGTAGGTCACGTGAGTCATATGAATCTCAAAACGCCCCATTGGTCCAAGTGGATGCCATTGGATGCCATCCTATTTTGGAAGCTCAATTGAGTGTTCCCAATTCACAGAGACGAGATCTTTGGAAGAGAAGTGCAGCCTCAGCTTTCCGTTTCCTTTAACACCTGACATCACCGACATCTCCTGACCCCTGTGATTTTCCTTTTTTCACACGGCGGCTCTCGGCTCTGGCTCCCTTTGCTTCGACATCTCGACCGTCTCTTCCTCTCGTCCGATGGAACAACCTTCTCCCAGGTCTGGAGGACTTGGAGCTCGCCTTAAGGCGCTGCAAGAACGAGGCCGACCGACCGCCACGTGCGGAGACACCGGGGTTTCCGGGGTGAAGCTCAGCAGCCGTCTCGGTGGCATGTGCGGTGGGGAGGAAAGGCTCCGAAGGATTTGGAATGGTTTGGGGTGCCGGAGTTGAGGAGTGTTGAGGACAACGCAGAGTCAGGTGACCTGGGGACAAAACAAATGGCACTCTGTTGTAGTGCATGGTCTTAGTCTTGTTGTTTTGCCCCTCCACATGGCCGAAAGCATCTGAAAACATCCCACCGGACCGTTTTCCTTCCTTGGCCTCACTCAGGCTGAAAACACTTAAAAGTGTAATCAACTGGACAGAGGCCAGGATTTACCACCACTGCTTGTTGATTGTTGGATGTGGTAAATTTGGAATAGGGATTAGCAAGACCGGTTCAAACTAGTGGGACCTCCCTGTGTTTGTCATAGCGTAACATCTTAATTAAGATCAGCAACTGAAGGGCCAACAATAGAGAATGGCATACCCTCAAGTACATGACCTTTCCACAAGTCACATAAATTGAGATCTCCAAGACTCCAATGCATTCATTTGTGTTACATAAGCCGTGCACTCAAAGCGGCAGCAGTTATTTCCCCATTCACAACCCCAATGGAACCCGGCTGACGTCCGCGGTCCCCGACCACCTGGCCCTTTCGACCGCCAGTCCATCCAGCGGCGTTCGCTTGGGGGAAGCTTCAGCATCGCCTCCAGTGAGGTCGTAGGCAGCGTGTCGGGAGCAACCTCGAACTTCGCTGCGGACGATGTGTGCCTGGACCATCTAATGGGTGTCCTGGCTAGACTACCCTACCCTACTTATAGGCCTCCAGACAGGGCACCCAGACAGGAAGTGCTAGGTGTGTGTGTGTGTGTGTCCACCCCTGGACAAAGGGTCTTCCACCACCACTCTTTC